ATATTATCAAAAAATATTAACGTTAGTGTTTGCCTCAAATGTCTGTGAGTTGGCTCTAATTTGACCGTGTAAATCTCTTTAAAACAATGTCTAAAAACGTTATATACAACATTATTTGTATGTTTAACCACTTCCCAAAGGCTTTCTGTATTTTATTTTATTTGTTGTTAAGTTGTCTTTTATGCTTTGTAGTTTTCTCTGTGAGCATACATAAAATCATTTTTTATGCAACAGTTTATAAGCGTTTGGAAACAAAGGCTCGATTTATCCATTTCTGCTCCTTGTGAGAAGAAGACGTGCGTCCAGTTGACTCATGTCTGTGGCCAATGTCTTGCTGAGTGTTATAGCAGCCACTCCCTTTTAGGCTACATCTGGGAGGTTTATAAGGTTTAAAGAGGCAGTCAGCTTTTTTTTTTTTTCTTTTAACAGCTAGTCATCATGCCCTTCAACTGGATAATAAGCAAATTGTGTGTGTGAATTCACTTTATGGTCCCCGCCTTATTTTAAACGCAGTCAAACCTCCAGCTGGTCAGAAATCAGAGTTATTTCTGTGTGCTCTCTTTGTTCAGCCTGTCAGCACTCATGGTCATTAAAATACCCGTCCATTTTGGTTGCTGAAGACTGGCATTCAAGGCGTGGGAATTGAGCTCACTGGAGACAGAGTCAGACCAGGCTGGCATTTAGTTCTGGTGACACTTGAAGGCACGGTGGCCTTTATAGATTATCAGTAGACACATGGGATCAGGCTGACAGAAGCCAGGTCTCCTCGGTATGTCGCACGCACTATGTAGGGCTGAAAAGTGCAATTTAAAAGAGGATTATATGATTAAATTAAGGTTTAGACAACACTCACTTTACAGTTTTGTTGTGTAAAATAAAATGTCATTTTTTGCTTCATAATACAGAATGGGACGTTATACAGTAACACATATCATGATAAAAAAACACTCGGATAAATGTATCGTGGTGAATTTCCAATATCAAGTTAATGAATGGGGATAATGCAGTCCTATATTGGTTTCCTGATTCATTTTAAACAAAGGGGACAAGAGGGAGCCTGCATCCTTTCAGTTATTTTGGCCAAGATAATCGTCCCATGCCTACTGCATAGCATAACTCTTGGTTCATAAAACTGCAAGTCAGGACTAGGGGGAAGGAGAACATACACTATGTTACACAATCCACCTTTGCACAGTATGTTTGAAATGGACCTTCCCTTAAACTCTTATCTTCTTTTTCTTTCTTTCAGAGGTTATTATGTTAAGTAATACTTCTTGTTAGAGGATCCATTTTTGCAGTGAACTAGCTCATTTGCTCTCAGGAGGACATTCACCTTATTGAAATTGTGCTGAATTAGAACAGTTTTGATGGAACCCGAGAGCATGTAGGTCATTATAAATAGCTAAGGAGGAGGAAGGGGAAAAAAGACGTGTGATTCTGTCTTTTGGCCTATTTAGATGCATCTTTCGGTCTAGAGGCAGCTACATTACTCACCAAACAACACAGATTGATAACTGTATGAATATAATATATATGGAAAATAATTAATTGTATAAACAACACCAAACTAACTCTTTGCCTTGCTGTTTGTTTACAGTTGCTTAGTAAACCAGGCAGGTGGAGTTTGACACATCAAGGAAACTCAGGTGGTGTCATAATGAACCTTAGAAAATGCTGACTCAACTTAGAAACACTTTTCTTTATTGTGACGGCATTCTCGTTCATTTTTGGCTTCTATTTGCCAATTCTCTCACATTATACACAAGATAAACTGCTCAAAATGAATGTTAATTTCTGATAATAATAATATACTACTAATAATGTTGTTGAATGATAGCATCGACCCGCAGGCAAGCAGATAACTCTGCTTTGAGTATCCTTGAAAAAGAAGTGACAGTACAGTATCTTATATCGAGTTATTATTCGATTTCTAGTCAGCCTGCTTTTAATTACCACAAGCGAGCGGGCAAACACAGCACCTCCACCCAGTAAAAAGGAAGGCAGCAATGTGTCAATGTTGAAATCATTCACACCTCTCAGTTTCAAGACGGTTTTGAGGGGCTGCGACTCAGACATTTAAAACTGAAATTACCAGTACAGATGCTAACAGTTTAGCAACAACTGGAAATGATGAGACAGGAAAGTCTTTTCAAATTAAAGCAAACTGAATGCTCACTTTTTACACTTCACTTGCTTTACATTTTATTTAGCGCCTTGACTTCTGTTTCTATACACCTGCGGTCATGCATCAGTTACCACTGATTCCTGTTACATGAGCTTGACATATACAGTAGTTACATGCTTTCTTTTCCTTTTCTGGGAAGTAACTACTATAAGGGGTCACAAGCCAACAAATAAAGAGTGTAAAATAAGTAAATAAAACTGCGCTCTGTGGGTTTGGACAAACAGCTGTGCTGGCTCTGCCTTCTTCTAATATTTTCTCAGCTTATTGTGAATCATGTCCCGGTTTCTTTTAACAGAGCATTAATGGACAAACAAAGTGTGGTAGATTAGTAACAGACCTGGAAGAAACTCTCGGGTTTGTTTTTAATCCACTTTGTGCTGTTGTTGGGTGGGGTCGACTGCATCCGGACAATTGAGAGAACGTTGAATAAGTTGTCATTCACAGGAAGGTCTAATTCAATACGATATGATTGTCTGCGTGTCCTGGCACTTCCCGCATTGTGTTGTGTGGCATTGTATGTAGCACTGTGGTAGCCACCCATCTGACACCGACACCAACAGCTGTAAAAATATTTGTAAATTGTTTCCACTCCACTAATATCTCTGTGAAATCTCTATCTTTGCTCTCTGAAATGTTGTTTTTAATAAAAGCTGTGAGCCCATAAGAATGATGTCATGTTACTGCTCTTACGCTGCAACTTTATCACCCCGGGGTTCATGGAAGTTAAAATAAAAGACTTCACTGTGGATGCTTTAGCACAGGTACAACAGTGGCTTTACAAAGAGCTTTTTGATGGTCTTAAACCCAAAGACCCAAATGGGAAGAATGCCAAGGACGATGAGCAATCATTGACTGAGAGGAAATGCCATTCAGGCAGTCAGTGAGTGAGCCACGGGGAGAACAGCAATCAGAGAGGACTATTTCTGGAATATCTCCTTCATCGCTCAGATGACTGCTTTGAACAGCTTTTTGTGACTTCCTTGATTAGTTGGTTTAATGACAATGTCCTGGTACCCATTCACACACATCACTAAGCAGGAGGTGCTTTGTACACACACAGCTCACTGCAGGGTAAAAAGCATCTCTACTGATGCAGCAACAAACCTGCTGTTCTAACATTTTAGGCCTCATGTCGCCCATTATTCCACCACTGAAACACAGGCCGATGGCCCACTGCATAAATCATCCTGCAGATTCAGAGCTCATAACTTCCTGCATCTATAACTTAAAGAGCATCTACACTGACCTCTAGGTTGAAAGGTTCAAGTCTGTTGTTGACCTCAACCATCATCACAATTGAGTGTGCTCACGTGTGGTGCAGCTGTGATGCTTACACCTCAACGTGATGCAGCTTTGCACAGTATTGTGAAGTGCTGAACTGCACAGGATGCGGACAGGGCAAGGTGACCCAGTCAGCCACACAGGAGGGGGGGATGCGTGAGGAAGAACTCACCGCGGTGAGAAAACCGTACTGCCAGTCAAACACTATGACATCAACCACATACAGACAACAAAATATTGAGCACATCATTTTGCATATATATATATATATATATATATATATATATATATATATATAGCTAAATATTATTTGTTTTACAGCAATGGCTATTTGCAGTGAAACATACAGTAACTTGGTGCATTTCAAGTGTTTGATGGATTAATATTTAATAAGAACTGTGTGCACAAACATGGGTTTTTACATCTAGAACTGATAGTCTCTACTGGAGGCCTGAAGACAGCAGGATCACCAGTCTGACAATATAGTCTAATATGTAGTGTCAGGGATCCCCGTCTGATAAGATTCTGTTATTCTGTAGCTGTCCATACTAAACTGTACATTATCAGATTAATAGTGAACAGTGGGGAGGGAGAGAGGGAGGGAGAGAGGGAGGGAGGGGGAGAGATCTGTTTTTTGTCCTGTAGATGAACAAGATGACTTTAGTTACTTATGCTTTGTTTTTCTTGTTGTACCAGACACAGCGTTGAAGATTTGTAACTTTTGTGAACAGTGTTAACTGAGTCATGTTAAGTTTCAGCGTGAGAACATGTTTGCCTTTGAAGCTGATTATTTTAGCTGTCTGTTTTCCTGTGACGAACATTGGGGAAATGCACTAGTGCAATGATAGGAGGGGTTACAATGACCCCGCCTAGAGGCGAACAGACTGCAACCACATCGTGTCTACCACAGTTAGAGGAAGGAAATGCTTGCACACACTCTGTAACGCACACTCATACAGTACACACTCTGAGAGAGGTCCTTTTAAGGAAAAGGCCCTGCTCTTGCCTGAGTGCTGAGTGGAGCAAAGGCAATGCCTTCAAATACAGAAATATAAATACATATACACACATTTACACACTGTTGTGACTGCATGTCGAGATTTCTCACAAGATTGTATGCTTATAAATACAGTCCACTACGTCTATTCAGAGTTTAAAGGACACCTGATATCCTGTGTTTATAGACACTGCTACAACCCTGGTAATCCAGTCTACTTTGACATTGGCAGTGTAAAGAACATGATCTGTGAGTGCTGAAAATTATTCATTTCCCTTGTTCAGTAGTTTTAGAAGCATAGCTTTGGTAAAAATAAAACTCTCTCTAGAAATTAAAGGTCCAGTTGCTGAAACTTATGCCGCATTTTCCTCCCAACCATGTCCCACGAATTTCACATCTCTCTGTCGAGGAACCGGACCTCTGTTCACACGAGTGTTCATTTATAGATGTGTTCCCAGCTAAATTGGCTGCTGTCTCACTTCTTCTTTTTTTCCTATTTTCTTTCTCTTTATATTTCTTTCTTTATCCGTCCCTCAGGCCGAGGCCAGGCTGGCAGCGAAGAGGGCAGCGAGGGCAGAGGCCAGAGAGATCCGCATGAAGGAGCTGGAGAGACAACAGAAAGAGGTATGAGTCACGATCACACGTTTAAAAACATGAATACAAGATGCACCTTATGGGTAAGCATTATGTGAATACTCGTTCGTATTTGAGGAGGTCATCATATTTATACAGCATTATTATATTGAAGTTTGTAACACGAGGTGCTATAAAGTTCTGGTTCCCTTTACATAAAGCCAACTGGATTTTTCCGTTGGATTTTGGATTGTTGCGATTGTACGTCTGTGGCAAACACGTTTTGTCCAGCAATATCATCTTCAACCCGTAAATGCTGCCTTTTTTAAGATTCATAAAAGCTTCAAAATTCACAAACTGGGTTTTTACTGACTTGTTTTATGTCACCGGCCAAAATCTCTTAAGCTTGTGTTAACCACAGATCTTATTTCAGGCATCTAACTAAAATCCCATTTAAAAAAACAAAACAAAAAGAAAAACAACGACATTGACTTCGAGGTGAGGAAACGGGATGTGCAAAACTGCTAACTCATTTCCGGGTTTCAGGACTCATTCCTGCAGCACTCTTTTATACCACATGGCTTGATAATACATTACTCTAAGTAACAACAGGATGTCCGCAGTCTTAGTTGGTACTGTGTTAGCAGTTTGGACCTGAAGAACTTCCTGTCAACATTGCTTCACGCTCTAAGCCTGGACTCTTAAATCCTGTGGGTCATGGGTCAGAGGTGGAAACAGGGTGCTGTAACTGCAGCGTTTAGTAGGTGCAGTAAAAACATGTGATGAACAAATAAAATACCCACCTCCTTATCAATCAGTCCTGCAGTAAAATGGAGCAAACCCCCTGGATCATGTGGATTAAGTTCATTTGCAAAACCCCAAATTTACAGAGAAGTTCATTTGTGACTGCTTTTTCATCTTAGAGGCTGTCTGAACTTCCTCTTATTAATTCCTCTTAATACAATGCAAACCATCTGGAATACAGTTGATGAAATGAGGGTTAGAACCTTTTCCAGTTAATCTCAGGCCAAAATGGGAGAAAAAGACTTTCAAGTCACACGTTTTATTGGGACTCTGGAGATGGAAAACCAAAACACACTGTAACACCAGCTACTGTACGTTGGTGTATTTTAACCAGTTCTTCCAAACTAGAACATTTATTTACATTGTCACCTGTAATGTACGTGAGTGGAAGGAAGTTTTTTAAGTTATTTAGTTGGTTTTATCATGGTTCTCTATGCGTAGCCCTTCCTCTTTAGATAACTACATACAGTATGTGTAGCAGTACTAGTACAATGAACTCCTGTTGTCTGCCATCTAGAAGCCTCCACAAATGTCTAGGTCTTAATTAGAAGGTCCTGCTGTGTAAAAAAGGCATTAAATGTATTATTCTTATTTTGTTTCATTTAAAATATATAAACAATTGAATTAGCAACATTTAGTGTTGAAGTTACACCTCATAGATGAATACAAAGACCAAAGACCCTAAAACTCTGGTCCAATGTTGTCATCCGCTCTACATTCAGATTTGTGTTGAAACAGGTGCAGAGCTGAAAAGTGTGTGTGGGGGTGTGTCTGTGTATGGTTGCGTGTTTGGTCTGCAGGTCAGTGGTGTGTTACTTAAGTTTTCGTTTATCATTTTTTTTAACACCTCTAATCTGCACCATGGGGAGTCGCACTTTTCCCAGATCACTATTCTTAGCCTGGAGTAATCCCATACACACAAACAGACTTCTGCCTCTCACCTGTCGAACCCCAACTCACAAACATTGACTCATTTCTGTGTCCAGAGAGGATTTTGAAGTTAAGACCCCTAATACTATTATTACGTGTAACCCTGGTGGACTTTTCTTGAACCCTCTTGTCCGTCTTTCTTTGCAGTTAACAGATACTTCTTGCTGTTAGGATTAGGAGAACAAAATATACGTTGTCTGCTATGGGTTGACATCCCCTAAAATCATCTGTCAGAGTATGTAATGTTTTAATGTGATTCTGATTTAATTATATTGCTGTGAATTAAATTGAGGAACAGTTCACAGATAATAATCTGACATTTTGGTCTAATTCTGTGAATTAAATACCTGGAAAAAACTTAAATTCTTCATCACATTCTTGACATTAAGAAATTCTTCTCATGGATTTACAACGTAGCTCACGAGGACCTTATATGACCAGGGATAATAAAAGTGATAGCCGCTGTACATCAGGTACAAACCATAAAGCAAAGAATCTCTAACAATATATACTGTACTGTATACACTATATATACTAATCTATCTCATCACATTACTCAACCCTGTTCAATTTCTCTTTTATAAATAACAACTTCCCTCTGATCTATTTAAAAAAAAAAAGTGATTTGGTGCTTGCCAATTTAGCAAACCCTTTTCCCATTAAGTTACACTGGGATAATCAGTATTCCAGCAGTACTCAATTATTCAGCAATCAAAACACAGCTGGTGAACCCAAACAACAACAACTACATGTGTACACACACAGACACACACACACACACACACACACACACACACACACACACACCAGTCATACGCACTGGATTAATGGTCATTGTTAAGCTGAGTCTGCTCAGGGTGTGTGTTTGTGTGTATGTGTGTCCCTTAAACCCTTTTAGCAGAGTTCTAAAGTAGCTTAGCAGGTTGCGCTCCTTGGTCCAGCCTACAGCGGAGCAGTTGTTGTCTCTGCGTTGTTGACATGAGCGATGGGTCGCTGCAGTCACAACCACCTTCGGGACTTTTGGATGTTTTCTCACACGCTGAAGACCGGACTTTAGGGTGGATTATTGGCTGTGTAGCAGCGAACGAGAACCCCACGGTTGCCTCTGTTGTTCTGAGCTCAAATCTCAGCGCCCCGTCCCGCCGTGATCCTGCTTCCATGACTGGCCGTGGTCTTGGCATGGTGACTGCTGAATGGTGATGGTACCCTGAGGGCAGCAGGACGGCCGGGCGTCGGCTGGCAGGGAGGGGGCTCAGGGCTGCCCTCACTGGGCGCCCACAAACCCCTCCGATCAAGAAGGGGAGCTCGGTGAGTTGGAACAGAACGGGTGCAAACATATGTAAGCTGATTGTGTAACTCATTTGATGAATGGGCTTATGACGGTGCCTGGCTCACTTGCTAATTGGCTGTCCAGACACGTAATAAGAGATAAGTAAGCAGATAAGAGCCCTCTGGACAGTTTTGTTTTGCGCTGTGCATCGATAATCTAATGTCTGTGCCGCATTATGCTCTTATACATCTTAATTCTCACGTTTTATAATAATAATAATAATAATAATAATAGATATAATATAAAACTTGAAAAGACATATATTGTTTTCTTTTTAATTGATGTCAAAGGTCAAAACTGAGAATTGAAAGGTCAGCACTCATGTAGCACAGGTTTAGATTAAAGTTGCTATAGATTATCTGTTAACTATTTAAGCACATGTTGTAGTTTTTTATTCGAATAGTAGAACAATAGTCAAAAAAATCAATAAAACGGGCGTTAATTATGCAGAAATAATGTGAAATTGAGGCATTACATTATTCTTATACCAGTGACACTAGAGTAATGTGTCACCCCGCCATTCATGGTAAAATATTTTATGAATTAAGGTGACCTCCACAACTAGAAGAGAGGATGACTTTGTTTTCATGACTAGACAAGGTGCGGCAATTTCTGCTGCAATAAGAGGTCACCAGCGTGGGGACATGACCTCTCATCTCCACTGAACCTATAAATTAAGATCAGTAGACTAGTGAGGGCAAGAGGCTGTACGCCATTGATCATCTAGGAAGTGCTGTTCCTGAAGTGATGCCACCGGGCAAAGAGGTCAGCTGCAATTCTGAAAGCCAGAATTACAAAGCAGCCAATCCATATATTGGGCAAGCATACAAGGGCGACAGTGGTTGTAAATCTGGATTAAAGTACTGGACCGTTGGGATGGAAAGTGCAGCAGTAAGGGGTGGGGTGTGTTTGCGCTCTGTGTTGGATTTGCTCGGATGTGACAGCAAGTGTGTTTGTGTCATTGGTGAAAGGAGCGGTTTGCACGTGTTACAGACATCTGTCAGTCATTGGTTTGATTTAAGTTATTATAAGTTGAGCGTGTGTGTGTGATTTATATGAGTGCATTCGCAAAGACAGTGGCAAATAACATTCCACATAAAATAAATATACTCTGCTAATTGGTTTATGTATTTATCAAAAATGCTAACTACTGTAATTGCCTCTAATTTGTGCGCTTCCTCAAACATTCAAACACATTTTCGACAGCAACGCCCACACATTAAAGCACGCACAGCCAGCCTCAACAGACCGCTACCTGGTGACGTACGGACTCACAGGGACAAACAGGCCTGTCTGGTTTGAATCCTTGTCCCCACAACCTCAGACTGAACTGGGGAGGCTGACGGAAATGAGAGGATACAGGTGATTGGATTGAAGTATCCCTGCTCAGGTTTATTCCCAGCACTGATGAGGAGCAGATCCCTAAAGTGTCTGAAGATACCTTGAATCATAAAGAAGTGGCTTTAAAATGGTACACATATGTTACATCCATAAAAACAGCATTTTGGATTTGAATAATTAATGTATTATAAGTGCGTTAAGTGATTAAATGGATCAAATAAACAAGATACAACATGTTAAAGGATAGGTTCATAATTTTAAGTCCGTCTTAAAACAATAGGTGTGGTAGGAACTACACTGAAAATGTTGGCGGGAACAAATGATGGAAATTGTTGCCTGTGGAAGATGCTGGGTTGACTGAACTGGAAAAAATGATATGGTTAAGGAACAATGGGAAGACTTTAGTGGATATATGTGCAGAGGAAGCAGCCTCACTCGAAATAAGTATGATGGTTTCATACAGTAGTCATTATAATTTACAAATACCAACCACATAATTGGAACCAAATATCTTCCTTTCTTATGTCAGTGTCTGTTGGTTTCCTGCCTCTTCTTTGTCTGGTTGCTGGATATTCTTGTTATAAAACGCAATAAAACTTCTCCTGTCCTTGCTGGCCATTAGAAAATAACTTCCTTATGTGAAACCCACAGTCGTCTTTCAAATGTAAAAATGTATGAAGAAGTGTGCTTAAGAGGTGCCAATTGTGTTACCTTTGGACTGAGCCAGGCTAGCTGTTTTTGGTCATTATGCTAAGCTAAGCTATGTGAAAGCAGCTTCATACTGCACAGACTTGTAACAGAGTGGTGTCAGTCTCCTCATCTAACTCTTATAACATCGTACAATGTGAAACCGTTCCTTTAATGGGTGATAGGAGAGCAGCACTGAGGCTCAGGGGCTTCATAATCGCTGTATTTGAACGTGATCTCAGCCTGCAGACTCCTTTTTTTGTTGTGACTTTTGGTTCTCGGTACCAGGACGTGTCAGAGGCCAGCTGTTTGTCACAAGACTCAGCTCTGTAGTCATGGGAACGCGGAGTTGAAAGTGACACTGTGGCACTGGCACTCTACAGCTTTCTGCCACTGATACCAACCTAAAGGAACCATGGGAAAAAGCGTGGTAACCCAATCTCATAGATCCTCAGCAAATCTCCAGTGAACTTGTGTTCTTGGGTCAGTTACCATTGGTCCTGCCCTGCTGCGCGGCACTTCACATTCCTGAGAGCCTCTCATTAGCAGAAACCTGCCTCGGTGCACGCTCTCTGTCTTTATCCGTCGCAGCTGATTCTGCCTTTTTTTTAAAGTTTTTCATTTCATATCTGTCTATTACATCTCATTTTTATTTTTTCCCTTCCTGTCTTTTATGTTTGATATCCTCCAATCTTTCTCCTCTTCCTCCCATCGATGTCGGTGTGTAGATCTTTCAGGTGCAGAAGGTAGGCCTCCTCTTCCTCATTTCCACCTCGGACATCATTTGATTTCATTGTTATGTAATTCACGCAGGCGTGCGCTTCAAATTGTGCCCCAAAAACAATAGAAATCTGTTACCTGTGTTCCTTTTTCTGAGCTGTTTTTTTTCTTGTCCTCATTTCCTGTCTCTTCTTAGAAATATTATGGCTTGGACACCAAATTAGATGACCGAGGGGACAGCAAATGGGGAGATATTGAACAATGGATGGTACAGTTTCTGTGCTGAACACTGAAAATACACCTCCCGTTTACTAAATACAATGCATGTGTTTCTGTGCATATTTTGAGGCTTTTATTCCTGTCTGTTGAGAATCTTTTGCAGTGTGCCGAGTCTGCTTTTGAATTCCAGATAATTCCTGTTAATCCTTTTTAGAAAATAACGGATTATGAGGAATCAAAGCTTTGCCATTAATGATAATCCACTTATTCAAAGGAGCAGGGTGCCGGTTTGGCTTTGAATCAGCATGACCATCTGCCCCATTGGTGTGAGACTGCATGGGATTTACTGTGTTGAATTTACCACTTTAGTTACTTAGTTTGAATTGCCCCAGACTATCGGAGAGTTGCAAACACAGCAACGAGGATACTGAGTGTGTGTGTGACTTGTAATTTCACTAACCGCGGTGTGTTTTTTTTACTTACTAACGTAATTCACTTGCTGTATGTTGCAATTTGAGGTGACTGTGTTTGTGCAACATGGGTGCTTCCGTGGTTTGTTTGCTGGATTACTGGTTTTAAGAACACACATGCTTGATTCTGTAAACAAGTGTGTACTTCACTGTCAAGTATCTGTAAATTATCTAGATTTGTTGAATGCAGGCCTTGTACAAATGTAGCAGGTGATGTATCCATGCACTTCATGTGGTGTCTACATGTGTTTATTGCTCCAAAATATCATACCAAGAAACGTTTCAGTAGATATGTATGAATATCTTGGCCAGAATAAACACAGTATATCACAACATAATCCTAAAATTACATTAAAACTGAGATTTTTAATCCCTTTAAAACTGTGGGAAGACTGACCCCAAAAAGTCATTTTATACCTAAATCGACAGTTGCCTTCCTCCTCCATCTGTCTCAGTGATCTTTGACATTTCTCTCCTCCTTCATCTCCTCTCTTCTCCATCTTCACCCCTCCCCTCCCTCATCCAGGAGGACAGTGAGAGATACTCACGTTCTTCACGGATACACACGGTTTGTAGCCCTCCCTCTGTTTCCATCTCCTCATGCCTTTCTTCTGTAATCTTATCCTCCACCACTTGGCAAATGTTACGTGAAATACACGATGTCAGTGTCAAACCTGGAGAGCCAAAGGGAGCGTCTGATGTTTGCTTCAGGTTGATAGATTTAGCATAGTATATTTAAAAAAGGCTTGTATTATAGACAGGCCTGTATTGCACGAGTTTATCTTATTTCTGTAAGACTTCGTCACTGTTTTCTGATCTGTTCCTGTTTTAATTTGGTATTGATGACATTAGCTGTCAATGCAAATACAAATGCTTGAATTCAGAATAATGAACATTTCCACAATAGTGCAATAAAGTCAAGTTTTAATGGTAAAAGTAAGCAGGAAGTGGTGAGTTTCAGTGAAAGTTTGTTTGAATCAATGCTGGATAAAAGAAAAAGCATTCACTATGCTGGATTTACTTTGTACATGTACATTACTCTTCCTCCTTCTCTAAATATTTGTACCTGGCTTTGATTAGCTACTAGCCTTAGTTATCCAAGCGAACACATCATGAACATTCTTTGTATACCAGCATTTATTTGAGAATGTGCAGTATCATAAATCCCTGAAGTAAATTACAGTGATTTTGAGTTGGTTTTGCCCAAGAAAAAACAAACCGCACAACAGATCTTTAAGCAAACATTCTCAGGAGGGAAACACTGTGAATTGAACCGTGTGTCACTGCAGCAGGATGCCTCCTGTCATAATCGGCTGTTCGCTGTCATTGTTGACGTAAATCACACATTGAGACCATTTTCCAAAAACCCTAACCATCCATTTCAATCTCTCACTCTCTCACACAGCTCTCAGACGACGATGAGCGGATGTCAGTGGGAAGCCGGGGCAGTGTCAGGGTCAGTATCACTCAAACAGCACATGCATTAAAAATCCAGAGACTTTCTTTAAACTGCTTTTTTTTTCCCGGCTTGAATATCAAATAGTTGTTGCTTTCAAAAAGACTGACCTTGCGCTCGTGAAACTCGGTTTTGTGGAGGCAGTGTGTCTGTCCTTGGTAACTCAAGGTGCAGTCAGTGTGGGTGGCACTTGTTTTTGTTGGTGATGATGTCGTTGTGTCTTTTGCACAGTCGGATCTTGACGCCGTTGGGGCTTACGGTGGAGGGGTAAGGGTTGACGTTCTTGAAGGAAACACCGTGGATGAGATTTTAACCCCACAACCTGAAGATGTGTTGTGTGAATGAGTTGTTGTTTGACTAACAGCTGGTTCAAAGATCTCAAAGCATGGAGTTAATCTGTCTTATTTTTGTGGGGTTTACCTGTTATCTCTCTCTATAACTCAAAGCATGCTTGTGTGCTCTGAATTAAATGGGTTTTATATGGTTTTATATTCTTTGTATTGTATGCAGGAGTGTTTTTTATGGTTTATAATTTTAGAGTGATACACTTGTTTTTGTCCTGATTTAATTGTTGCAATATGCAGGAAACAATGCATGAATGTTAGTTTCATGTGATTATATCAGCTGATTATGTTCGGTCGTGTACTTGTTTCTGCCGGGGTAAAAGAACATTGACTACCTTGGAGTCAGTCAGATTTGATTTCGACAAAAAGAACATTGTGTGTTAGAGAGCTATCAAGCTCCAACCAAAACACAGCCCGCACTATTTTAAGCTCTGTCGTGTCTCATAATGTTAAGTGCAATTTTTTCTGTGCTATGTAATGTGGAAAAATCCTTCATACTTATCATTCTCTTGGGCATACGAGATCCAGGATATTTGGCTCAGTCGTAGCCGAATCGGTTAGTTTTGTCAAACAGTTGCATTTTAACATTGTGGGCTTTTGTATGCGTTTTACCGCTGAGTAAAGAGTCAGTTGTGCATGTATATGTTGTGTGTTGTTTGAGTCTTCCTGTTAATAGTAACAGTAATAATATGAACCATTTTTCAATCAATAATGTCGATCTGGTTTTGAGGATGAGGAAAGGTTTGTCCGGACGACGTGTCTTCATCCTTCATTTGTTCTCCCTCTCTTTCTCTCACTCTAAGGGCTCCTCCTCACTCTCACTTAAGAAGTCAAAGAAAAAGAAGAAACATAAGCACAAAGACAAAGACGTATGTAAAAGCTCAACCCTGTAAATGCACAAATGGCCCGCACAAGAACCGGCATCAGTGTTTCTCACCCGTGTTCTCTGTTCACAGAGGAACGGCTGTGATGATGATGATTACAGTGTAATGTCCAGCAGGGTCAGTAGCTGTGTGTTGAACTGGTTGCACAGACATTTGCATTGGGTCTGTTTTTATGAATAATCTTATTGACAACCTGTCACTCACGACCCTCGTCTTTCTCATGCTGTTAGAGCTCCAGACTCAGTGATGAAAGCAGAGTGTCTCGCTCCTCCAGACTAGACCTAACGGTGCGTCTCCTCCTTACTGATGAATAGCTGTACAGTGATTTGTGTTGTGTTGAGGACAAACTGTTCTGTTCACACTACAGTGCAATGTTTTGCCTTGACAAACATATTTTGGAGGCGTAAATAATCTCATTGTGTTGTGGCAAACTGCAGTGTTTTGCTATGAAATTTTGTTACCTGGCAACTTGGATAGGTTGCGTGAGTGTGGCCAGGTTGAAACAGGATATCACATGTTGCTAGCGTGCAGGAGGGAAATAAGTATTTGATAAGTTTTAAGTAGAATCTAAAGGCATTTTTTTGTCTTTGAGAAAAAATCAATAGGACTAAGCTTTGGAAGGCAGCAATAAAAGTTAAAAGCCTGCTTGAATATAACAATATTACATGAAAAAGGACTAAAATATAAAATTAAAAGGAATACACTGCTGAGGCTTTTTCATTCATTCTTGTAGAAAGAAGAACAGAAGTTCCTCAACACAAATCAAGTAAAATGTTATTCAAAAAAGCATTGCTTGAAAACCTGGTTCTTTAATCAGTTATTTCTACCTCTGACATATTTAACTACACAACCATAAGGACGATAGCTATGTGTCAATATACTGTGATACTCAGTGACGTTGAATCAAAGCTGTGTGCTGTCAGATGTATTGAGGATGACATTGAGTTTCTGTGGTGTTGGTGTTTGACTCTCAGAGCTCCAGACTAAGTGATGACAGCCGGGTGTCTCGTGCCTCCAGATTAGACCTGCAGCCGGTGGGTGGCGCTGCACTGCAGTCTGTTTTGCTTTGTCCTATCACTAAAGTTGTGTTTATTAACTAAATGAGTTGTAATATCAAAACCTTCCTACCTGTGAAAGCTTGGATTGTTTTAATTGAAATATTATTGTTACTGAGGCATGTAAAGACACTAATAACTGCATCATACTACAGAATAGACGTAGGTGCATGTATTACGTCTTTTCTGTGTTGAATTCCTATAAGACTTCCTCATTGTTGTGGAGTCTTTGTGCTGTATATCCTGGAGACGTCTACTCACAGTGGAGTTGGTGCTGCGACATTGTTTTATACGCAGCAATCTTTCCAGTTCAGGCATTTTGGCATGCATGCTGATTGCCTTGTTGTTGCGTATATTAAAGGCAAACTGCACTCAGAGGTGACCTTTTCCTGGGAAGGACCTATTAGACAGCACAAATGTAAAGGTTAAAAGTGCATTGATATGAAACTATCATGGAGTCATTAGTTAAATTGGTTTGTGCATGTGTGTGTGAGATCCTCACTGGCTAACATGTGCGAGTCACGCTTTAGATGAAGAGTTGTGTGACTTTTTTCTTTCTACTACCTATCCTTTTACCTCATTCCCATCTCCCTCCGTCTTTTGGCTCATTACTCTCGCTTCTTTCTTCCCCTTTCCTCATTTCAGGCTCCGTACGCTTCCTCTGACTTGTACAACTTCAATGGTCTGTCCTCTTCCAGAAACCAGGGTTCAGCTTTCAATGGTTACCAGGTCCGTACACAGTTAAATGCTAGCTTTGTCACTACTCTTTAGCTGCTACCTGACCCTTCACCTCTCTGTGGAGAGGGACAAGAGAACAGAGAATTTCTCGTGTTTTCACAACCTGTTCCAACCTGCCGCCTCATAAAACCTCCTTCTTACTCCCAACTTCATCCTGTGTTGCAGTTCTACAGGTCACTCAGTCAGATCACCCAGCAGCTCTATCGTAGGGTTGGTTCCAGTCATGTCCAGTTTCCTTATTGCCCACTATAACTTCCACGCAGTGTTAAATCACACCTGTAATCATCATTCACTCACACTTGTTTGTCTTATTAAGTCAAGAGCTCCCAGTTAAATGCTTCATCACATTGTAAATCCACTGAGTTCTGAATGGACCCACACATCAGGCACTAAAGGGTGTTTTTTTCCCCCATTGAGTAGAAAAGCATGTAATAAAATCCCTAAAAATGTCAGCCTGAGCATATTGTTAACACTGTGTATGTGTGTGTGTGTGTGTGTGTGACATGTCACATGTGCAGAGCTCCTTATATGAAGACAGCCTTGGCACTGGGTCACGGCGAGCCGCTGGTCCCACCTCTCACGTAAGATTGTCATGGAATTATGTCTTTGTTGGTTTGACGCACATGAGTGTGAAAAGTGTGTCCTGTTTGTGGGTTAATTATCAGGACTGCTAATTATAACAGTCACTTATAAGAAGAGTGAGTGCATATGAATTCAGTGTGAAATAATGGCCATGTGTGACGTTTTCTTTTCTTCTAACATGATCGAGACCTTTAATTTTGAGTGACTGGAGTGATATTTTTTCGGCTGCTGCATGAGAGTTGTTTTGGTTTTAATGTAATTTGATTTAGTTTTAATTCTAGTTCAAAACATAGTCTGTGTTTTGTACAATTTTAGGTTGGAATTTAGATGTATGTTTTGCATTAAGCGGATTTTGATCTCCAAATTGTGGCATAGGTCCTGTCCAGCATGCGTTTGCTACCGGTACTGTTAGTGTGAGTATGCGCATGTTTGTTTGTGTTTGCCCCCAACGTATAGACAGAAAGGTAACGGTGTGTTTTCTCTACAGCCTTTAGAGTACACTAGTTATCGCAGCTCCGGCTCCAGAGCCTCCTCCAGAGCCAGTTCGGCCCGCGCCAGCCCAGTGGTGAGCCTTCACTCCCCAGACACCCTGCTTAGAGCCCTGCATGGGCCAAAAACTCCAGCCATAGCCCGGCCCTGGCCCGGAAAAGTCTGCAATTTTTCAACCCCAGTCCAACACTCTCTCGACAGACATTGCATGAGCCCACTTATACATGATGCTTCATTACCACATGAGTCTATGACTGAACTGCACAGCCACCATGCACTTAAACTACGACATTTGGTTTATGATTCACTGTTTACATTGGAGGAATTGGGTACATAATTGGACCGTGTTCACTCTGGGTGTTACTGTGACTCAGAGTTGGCACGGCTCGCAGAATTCAGAAATGTGCAAACATCATTTGTTCTGAGCGCAGAGTAGAAGCAGGTATTTCCTGGTGGACCTGTATAGCACGGCCGTTACAGAATGTCAGCGTTCTGTTTTTAATGTTAGTGAGCCGTGAACTGGAGCTCAGAGAAGCCCCTACCTCCCTGCAGGTCACTCAGCGTAGGAAAACCACATTAATGCCTGAAATGTAACGATGAAAGTCTGCTGAATGTGTGGTCATCTATCCAGTTCACTGAGTCGCAGCAACAGTACAGTGGCTGATTGGAGCCATCTGTCACAAGCCTGTACCAGGACAGTGAGGTTTAGGTTGTCATTCACAAAAAGCTGTTTTAAAATACTTTTTTTTTTTTTTTTGGTTTAGATGTCCACTGATTTCTCACCAGTTGAATAGTTTGCTACAACAGAATACATAAAGCTACTAAATCTTGCATTTTTGTGGTAAAAGTCAGTGATTGTCAAAGAATTACAATGACTGAGAAACCTGATACATTCTGCTCCCTTATTCAAATTTCAGATTCAAAATCATGGTTTGAAAAGGTGATCATGGTTTTTGTCGTCTGGTGTAAAAGTGTATAATGTGAAAGTAGAACGAGGTAACATAATTAGATTTAAGAGTAAAGATGAATGTCCTTTTAGTGTTTTAGAGCACTAATGATGATTGGTAAATCATTCTCTGCTGTCCTGATGTAGAGAATGATTCAACGTGGATTTCTAACTGGCTGGGGCATCTTAAAGTATTGACCTTCTCTTAAGTGTTTGGCCTCTTTGTTGTTCTGTTTCGCCCCCTGGTGGCCGATGTAGGACAACTGCGGGTCTGTTGCCAGCTTTTTGAGGAGTGCGGCCAGTAGCAGTGGCATCCCCCGAGACCTGGACGATGTTACTATTCCTGACTTTTCTGACGTGAGTCGCTTTGCACCGGCAGGACGCCGAGGCTGTGATGTGAGCTGAGTTCCTGCTTGGTTGCTGTTTTTGCCACTCGTCCTTCCTTTTTCGTGCACTTCACACCCTACAAGGAGGGCCGGTCTCGCACTGTTTGTGTCAGAGGTTAATTTGTATGTGTTGACCAGTTTGTCTTGTGATAAGATTCTTTTCGTGTGTGTGGCCTGGTGTTTGAAGTGTATTTCTAACACATGATCTGTTGTTGAATGAAGTACTGTGTCAGACTCATTTCTGGCCTGTTAAGTTTTGGTGATTTTAATTTCTGAAGGAGTTTTTAAGCCTCCCAGACTAATTATTTGCATGGTGTTTCCTATCAAAAGAAACATGGGAGTAGAGAGAAGATTGGAGTGCTTGGAAGTGATGTTTCATCTGTTGCTTTTTCATTAGGAGATGTCAGTCTAAATCTTCTTATCAGTGCTGAGCTGCCTGTAGTGAGGATTTTGGGACTTCCTTCCTCCCTTAGTTGGTCCTCTCGGCCCTGTGGCCTCTGTTTGCTCTGACTGTATTTTATTTGTCTCAACAGGTGGAGGACAGAGATTATCTTGAGAAGGTCAGTGGGTCACATCACCAAATGCGATGTTTGTTGTTATTCAAGATCCATAAAGTATCACTGGATACTAAAAAGTACCAAAAAAGTCTTTTTCTTTTTTCTTCATTAGGGATCTCGAGCAGCTTCTGCCTTAACAGCAGGAACCCTTACGTCTTTAGGTGGGACTTCCTCGCGGAGAGGAAGTGGCGAGACGGCTATAACTGTAGACGCAGAGGCCTCTATACGAGAAATTAAGGTAATGCTGAGGAGTTTCCAATGGACAGTTAGGACAATATCTTTCTGGAGTGGGTTTATTGGTATCGTTTAGAAATAGAAACAAGAATTTCTAAGAATATTTGAGCCAGATGATGCTTACAAATGTAAATTTCATACATCTAATGTTTGCATTATATGAACAATTTACTTAAAAATTTTACATGGTTTTAAAAAAAATTCTGATTCATTTTCAGCTTCAACGATGAGCTAATAATTAACTGATTAATTGACCATGAACTGATTATTATTTTACCCATAATCTTGTGGCCCCATTTAGCATTTTGACCTGTTTGGATCACAGAAAAGTTTTCTTCAGAAACTTATGTCTACAGTAAAATTTCTTAACTCATATGCTGACAAATGACAGTAATTTCTCTACCCAGACATGCTCCATTAAAGGTCCAGTGTGTAGGATTTAGTGGCATCTAGTGGTGTAGTTGCAGATTGCAACCATTTAATGACCACTGATTCTTCCAGGTGTAAGAAACTACGGTGGCTGCACATTTAGCAAAAAACATGAAACAGCTCATTCTAAGTTAACAAAATGCAACAATTCCTATATTCAGGTGATTTATACACTATTATATTATATTCCATCTCTGCCAATAGATCCTCCTAAAAGTTACACACTGGAGCTTTAAACCACAAGACATTAAGGGGCTGAAGCCTTACTTTCCAGAAAAACTGGATTTTACTGTTACACACAGAGAGGTTTAAATATACGCGAGACCGACTTAAGGAAATGTTTATCTTAAAAAATGTTCTTCTTTGAAGTCCCGTGCTGTCATGCCATTTCCATTCTTTCTGCACTTTGTGTCGCTGTTGTCATTACCCGCTCACCAAACTTTCTGCGTCACCTTTTCTGATGCTGTCCCGCTGCGCTTCTCTGCTCACTGCTGCTGCACTCTTCACCAGGAGATTCACGAACTGAAGGATCAGATTCAAGATGTGGAAACCAAGTACACGCAGAACCTAAAAGAAGCCAAGGTATAAGCCCTAAAGACCCTCACAGAACTCCCAACTCCAGACTCACTATTAACTGATGTGTTTGGTGTCTCTAACTTACTCACAGTGGGTCAAATATGTGCAGCCAGATTAACTCTTATGTTACCCAACGGTAGATCAATAAACCAACTGATAATCTGAGAACTCTTGATGGCTTTTGAATTCAAACTTAAATAAACACTGAATGTTTTGTGTAACTATAACAGATTTGCCTTTATATAGAAACTCTGGAGTATTTTAGGAGCAGTACTGGTGCTCCAGACTGAACACAAATATTGACACTGAATATCTGCAGTCCTTTGTGCCTGAGTAAGGCTTTATTTCTCATTCATTTTCAGCTGTGCAGATGTTTTCTAACATGTGTAAACTTGCAAACTGGCAAAGTTGCACCTGCATGTCGCTGTCTTTCTTCATGTTGGTTTGTGTGTGTGTTTGCCTGTACTTCCTTACTTACATGTCCACTTACAAAGACTTACAGTTGTGAGATACAGACACAGGTTGGACTTCTAAATGCTTTCCTGCATTATCTGGATTCTCTGCCAGCTGCATCCATCCGTTACTCCAAACTGGAAATGTTCTGATACCATTTCTTTCCTTCCCTATACCAATTCCGACGCCTAAACTTTGCATATCAGCAGATACCGACTACTGATCCAATTCACAAGCTTATACTAACTAACCCTGTATGATTGCTATCATTGTTGTATGCCCTGGCTCAGGTTAAACACTTTGTCTGAGTCAGAGCAGGGCAGGACTTTGTTAACAGGACACTATTAGGAAATAGCAGGATCCCTTTTTGGAGCTAATAATTACGTGGTAATGGATCAGTGCACAGACCTGTCCACTTGCTGATTTTGAATACTAGGTTTGGTATCGGAACAACTCTACTCCAAGCATATCCAGTTTGTCCATACTATTTGACAGAGGAGAGGATGACTCTGCAGTTTTGTTTGATGACATGATATATGTGATTTTTTAAATATTCTTATATTCTTGATATTTCACATTGACGTTAGGATGCATTAGCAGAGGTGGAGGAGAAGTATCGTAAGGCCATGGTGTCCAACGCCCAGCTGGATAACGAGAAAAACAACCTCATGTACCAGGTGGACACACTCAAGGACTCGCTCATGGAGCTGGAGGAGCTGCTGTCTGAGTCGCGCCGGGACTATGAGGAGAAAGTCAAGGTACAGCAAGCAGACAGAGTGGCTGTCTTTAAAACTGAGGATATTATAGAGTTCAGTACATGCTATTTTTTTTAACCTAAATTCAAAGTCAATATAGAAACTGTGGGAAACCTGAATGGTTTAAATATGTGTTTTTATTAGTAAACCATTATGGATCAATATGGAAACCGTTTCAAAGAACACAGAAACAATCAATTTCACTGTGGTTTCCTTTTGCTGTTGAGAAATGTATATCAATATGTCATTGCTTGTAAGGTCATAACTCTCTTTGTTCAGTGCCAGTAAAGTCTGCTTAAAACATTGCTAGCACACTGGAAGTTACACACTTCTCAGCGGTGTCACATACAGAGGCCACAATGTGAATTTGGCCTTAACTGTGTATAGCAGAAACCTAGACAAGACAACTTTATTTATTTTTTTTATGTTCTTCCATAAAGCCATTAAAATGAAATGAAGAGTTTTCAAAACACAAGAGAATAAATTATTAACTGTGAGGTGACAAGAACTCAACATGCATGACTGTTGTTATGCCGGAAGTACACCAAAGTCAAGTTTCAGTCGGTTTATATTGTTAATCCAACCCACAGTTAATGCTTTGTTTTGACTCTACAATTTCACAAATGCAGTAAAATAGCATTATATTGGTGTAGGGATGAAAATAATGATTATTTCCATTATATATTAGTCTGTCAATCAGTTTGTCGATTAACCCATTAGTTGTTTGGTCCATAAAATGTCAGAAAACTGTAAAAAATGTTTTTTGCTATTTCCCAAAGCCCAAGGTGACCTCCTCAAATGTCTTGTTTTGTTTACAATCCAAAGATATTCAGTTTACTGTCATAAAGGACTAAAGAAAACAGAAAATATTCACATTTGAGAAGCTGAAATCAGAGAATGTTTTCCTTTTTTTCTTAAAAAATTACGATTCATTTAATAGTTGACAACTAATAGATGAATTGACTAATCGTTGCAGCGCTACATTGGTGGTACCTAAGGACTTTACAACATACGTGCAATATATCTGCCTAATGGGGACTATAATGCACATAACACAGTCCTCAGAATGTCAGCTGAAGTTGAACATAGATGTTGAAAATGAAAACAAGGTTGTCAGGCTGTGTCTTGTTACTCACAGGAACACGAGCGAGAGAAACATGCCCACAGCGTGCTTCAGTTCCAGTTCAGTGAAATGAAGGAGATGCTAAAGCAAAGTGAAGAGCTGCTAAATGTGAGTATTTGTTCCCCAGTGTGAATGCGTGTCACTAAGAGTGTGAAACGGGGTGCAGAAATGGAGCCTCCTATGGATTCAGAAGACATATTTACAAAAGAAAACAGCTGCCTTTTACTCACTCTGTCACTTAGAAAGGCTGCATGTTGCATTTCACTACTTTATTTTTTTTCACACACCGTAATATGTGCATGCACTGCTTTTCTCTTTTTGCTTTCTCTCTCTATATCCACACTTTATTTCGTTTTCCCGCTGTGTAGGACATCCGTCAGCTGCGGATCAAACAGGAAGGTTTTGTCAGAGAAATAGCGGACCTGCAGGAGACGGTGGAGTGGAAGGATAAAAAAATTGGGGTACGGCCTTTGAGCCCTGCTCCAGCAGTTTTGTGTTTAGTTTTATCACATTGTTTAGTTTTGTTGACAGTCTTCAGTATCTCCTTTGCATGAAACTAAACGCCGACTTTAACTTGCACTTCTTTTCGCCTCCTGTACACTTTTCACTTTCTTTCACACTCTGCCACGTGGTGGCTCTGCTCAGGCCTTAGAGCGACAGAAAGAATACACAGATGCAATCCGAATTGAGCGAGATGACCTCAGAGAAGAGGTTGTGAAGCTGAAAGACATTCTGAAGGTACTCTGTCAGTGTGCGAATGCTTGTTTCCGCCTGCTGTGTGTAGTTTTGGGAAGCAAATTCGAACCTCTGAAGTGTAAAAAATAAAGTTTTCAATATTGTCACTGTAACGAAAAGAAAAACTGGATCATGTTTTATTGAAGGTAGAAAGTAATAAGTAACAGATGCTGTCGGAAACTGTTATTTTTGAAAATGTGATTTAATTACGTTTTTGCAAATTACTTTATATGACCAAACATACTAATATAATTATATTGCAACTTATTTTCAAGGTGTGTAATCTGTGGAGCTAATGTTTGACTTTTTATTTTGTCTAGAAACATGGAATAGTATTAGGACCTGATCTAAACATCAATGGAGAAATTGGTGAGGCCGAAGTTGACGGGTCCCCCAGTGCAGACCCTGCTTCCCAACCGGCTCCGGATTCACAGACCTCCCCTGTGGAGGGGAACAGCATGCTCGGTAAAACGCAAAAACTTGTTACTGCATGGCTTGGCATAAAACTGAAGACTTCCATTCCAAAAACAGAAAATGAATCAATAAAAATGAGCGCATACATGTTCCGTATGCATTGACCTCTGAATTTTCAAATGTCTAAGTTTGGGATTGAAATCTTCAGTTCCTGGTGTTCTGATCCTGGAATATGTTACTTTTACTCTGATTTGCACTGACCTGATCTGGTGATTTTCTATATTTTTCTTGAGACTGAAACAGAACTTGGAAACACAAAGTGACAAGAAAATGTCTCCACAAGATCAATTGTGCTGTTCTTGGACTTTAACTTTTAAGCCAATCTTGACAAGAAGTCATGAAAGTGCTCAGAACAATGGGAATTTTAACATTTGGACAAACTGTTTCTCCTGAGGAAGATTGTGTTACTACTAAATGGACATTGTTCTAAGATTGTTTTGTCAACTTTTTGTTACTGTAAACAATTTCCATGAATATACCCAAACCAACAATGAAATGATCCTATCCTATAACAAGTACTGTCAGTGTATCTAAAGCATGACATATCTTATTTGTATATAGAACTCATTGTCAGTGAGCTACACCCTTACACACATATACTCACAGTGCACTAAATGTGTATTAAAGTGCAGCTGAAAATGGTCCCAAACAAATGCACTTTTTCATTTATATATGAGTAACTTTTTCTAAATACCACAGTGTTTGTTTTGTTTTTTTAAATAACATTTTGTGGTTGTAAAATGTACGTAGGAACCAGCAGGCTTGTAGCTTAGTACTACAGACTACAGAGAGTAGGAAAGTAGTGAGGGACAGACCAGTGCATTGTTAGTTTGTTTTGGTCTGTTCATGGAATTTGTTGACAACAAGAAAAATAAAGAGAAACACCAGCCTTATCCTTTAAGCAACATCTCGCTTTCCTGTAAAAACTAATATTCCACTTACAAACTCAGCACACGCCTTGCTTTATGTTTATTACTAATGTTTTTGGCTTTTTAAATGTTTCTTTTGCACCTTTATCGTCATTTTAGCTAATACACATTGGTTCTGAATCACAACTAATGCAGGTGGTGTTTAAATGCTGAAAGATCTCTACAAGGTTGATGGTATAAAGCATTTGAGACGTTTATTTTTAGAAGCAAATAAAGTGTAAGGAATATTTGTTTATATTATATTGAGTATATATACTGTTTATGTATACTGTTCCTTTGAGCTGCCTGCTTCAGGCTTCTTGTCTTGTCACACTGATGTTCTGGGGATGAAGAACTTCCATTTCGATGTTCCTCCTGCCTTTCTTCTTCTTGTTCTTGTGCTTCTCTTGGTCGTCTTGGCTCTGTGCATCTCTTTCTGGCCACTGAATCAATCAGGTGTTCTGCTTTACCTTGACCTCTGCTGCCTCCTTATGAAGATTACAGTTTTTGAAAATCATGTCTTAAATCAACATTGGCCCTCTATCATCGTATGCTCTTCATGATCTCTCAGGCAACACACAGAAGACTCAGTCTAGAAGTAACGGAGAGGAAGAGGTGGATCCGGAACAGCGTCAAGAAATGTTTGAGGAAGCCAAAGAGAATCACTTGAGCTCTGATGCACTCTGTAATGTTGCCAGCGTGGCCACAATCGAAACACCTAGCGAAGAACAGCCAACAGAAGAACAACAGACATGCTTAGCCACAGAAGAAGACAGTGTTGACGGAAGTGGCCCCAGCAATGACTTACATGTTGACATTAATGAGGGTTCAATCACAGAAGCCAAAGATATAATCATTTGCAGTTCTGAGCCTCAAGGGATTGTAACAAGTTCTGAGGAAAATGTTCCAGAAACAGAAACGCCTGAGGGGAGAGATTTAGGAGAGACAAGTAATTCAGATTTAGGGGAGAGCGAAACTAAAAGCAGTAATGTCAATACCCACAGTGATGATATTAGAGAGTCATGTAATGACATTTTTGAAGAGCAAGGAAACAAACAGGAAGATGTTGACGAAAGTAATTTGAGAAATACAGAATCATGTCATCAGCAAAAAGTCACCCAAGATATTATGAAAGAAAGTTTACCTGATGAGTCCGTCCCAGCTGTATCAAACACTGAACCTCAACAAGAGCCTGAGAATGCTGAAGAGGCAGATAATGATGAGGCAGAGGAAATATCAAGTAAACCTCAGCCTCAGGGTACTACTGCTTCAGGCAAAAAGAAGAGAAAGAAGAAGAAAGGTAAAAAGAAAGGAGGAGCACATGAGGTTAAGAACCAACAAAAAGATGGAAAAGATAAAGAAAATGGCAAAACAGAAAAAGACTTGGAAAAAGAATCAGCTACAAGAGGTAATGGGCCAACGACAAAACCTGACCTTGCTGATTCTGTCACTGAAACCCTCAAAGAAACAAGGGTGGATCAAGTTAAAAATGAGCAGGACAAGCAAGAAACTGAGAAGGTAGATCAAGTAGAAGCGGTGAAACCCACTGAAACCTTTTCTCACAATGAAACTCTAAAAGAACCAATAATGGATCATGTTAGAGATGAGCATGACAAAGAACAAATTTTGGAAACGAACAACGCAATTGAAGTAGAAGCCATGACAACTACTGAAACCGTTTCTCACATTGAAATTCCCAAGGAAATAACAGTGGATCATGTTACGGATGAACAGAAAGAGGAACAAACTTTGGAAGCTGAAACAGTAGAAGCAGTGGAGGCATTGGCTCCCTCTGAAACCTTTTCTCACGATGAAACTCTCAAGGAACCCAGTATAGATCCCAAAAAGGATGAGCAAGACAAGGAACAAACTTTGGAAGCTGTAACAGTAGAAGTGGTGGAGGCAGTTGCACCCACAGAAACCTTTTCTTGCACTGGAACTCTCAAGGAATCCAGTACAGATGCCAAAAAGGATGAGCAAGACGAGGAACAAACTTTAGAAACCGAGAAAGCAGAAGATATGGAACCTATAACAAGTCCTGTTTCAGAGACCAATCTCAGTACTTCTGACGTTATTGACGACAAAGTTGCTGAGAACACTGATGGTTTTGATAAAGTGTGTACTTCCAGTGAAGAGAACTCTAAAAGTGGAACAGACATCTCAACTAATGGCAATGTCATCCACACTGAGTCAGCTATTGTTGATAGTGCAGAGGTTGAAGGGTCTGTTGAGGAGATGAAATCTGAATGCAAAACTTACCCTGAAAGCATCGGTAAGGAAAACACTGAAGCTGAATCACATGTTCCAAGCGATGATGACATTGCTGCCGGTGAATCTGAATCCTCAAACAATTCTGAGAGTATGGATAACACACCGGCGACTAATGAAGATGGTCTCAAGAGCTTGTCTGGCTCAGAGCTGCCTTCTGAGCTGTCTGCATCCGTGAACTCAGTCAGTGACAACACTCCCATCAAGAACTCTGATCCTGATCCTGAGGAGGCAACTGAGATTGTCAAAGATGAAGAGGAGCCAGGAGCAGATACCAAACAAGAATCCCTTTTACCCAGTCATGATGGGGATAATACAGAGCTAAAACTGGACAGAACAGAAAAGGAGAAGTTGAACGGAGACTTGAGGGAACCTGAAAGTGTAGCTGAGCCAGACACCTCCTCACAGGAAGAAAAAAGTGACAGTGCTTCATTAACGAAAAACAGTGATCAACTTGACACTGAAAAGAGTCTGTTGGCAACGCAGTCCGAACAATTGGATGAGGTAGAAAGCCAGCCAGATAATCAGATTGCTGAATCAAAGGCTGAAGTGTCTGAAACAGAGATCAATACCATTGACATGGTAAACACACCAGACTCTCCAAAAGAAGCTACTGAAATTGGGCATTCTGTCGAGCAGGACCACAGTACTGAAGAATCAGCTGTCGCAGAAGATCCAGAACATAAAAACAGTCAAAATGACCAGCAAAGTGAGACACATGTTTGTCCTTTGGAAGAAACCAGCAAAGACAAAGCTGAGGATAATGATTCTTCTCAACCCACCCTGCAGGAAAGTAATGAAGAGGATGGGGAAGATGAGGAAGGGCAGTCTTTTGATTTTGATGACATGGATGTGGAGGTGGCTATAGAGACAAATCTCCCTGAACAGGAAGAAGTTGAGGAGGGAGTTGAAGTCATGTCAGACGAATGCATCAGTGGTAGTTCAGATCTGAACCAAAGTAATACAGAGTCAAATGAAAATACACAAGACAAGCCAGTTGAAAACAATGACGAGAAGTGTACAGTTGATGGGGGCAAGCAGGCAGATACACTAGATAAAAAGACAGATTCTGTGCTTCATGTGGAAGCCACATCTGAAAATAAAAATGTGTGTGAAAAGCAGAAAAACTCACCTGAGGAGGAAGTAGCAGATGAGCCCAGGCACATTAAAGAGGAGGGCAAGGTGTTGAATGTCGGAGATTCGGGTGTTGCTGCAGAGAACATTAATCAGGCAACGTCTTTACCTGTAGAGGAAGGGTTAGATGCCATTGAGCATGACTTGCAGGGTGAAGGTTTGGTTTTACCAAAGAGTGCAGACCAAATGGCCAGCACTAAAGAGCCACCGCAGACAGGGAAAGACATGAAGAAGAACGGCAAGAAAGGCAAAGCCAAGGGCAAAGAGGACTGTAAGATGTCTTAGCTTATAGATGGTATATAATACACATATATCTCATGATTTTCCCCTCACTAGTATTTGCTTAGCTGTTTACAAAGTGGTAGAAAACATATGTGCAGAACCTTAGAACACTTTCCTTCACAAATGAATATTGGTGTAAGTATGTATATTCTTCTAATTAATCCATATGAACAGTCCAAGGACCAAACATGAGTAGTCATTGAGGTCATATTATGTGCAAAAAATAATATTTGGGTGAAATGAGAATATAGACAGTTGGTAACAGTGGATTTTTACTATTGGACAATATTGCACTTGCTATATTTTGTTATTGATTATCACGCTGCTTGTAATGTGTCTTGGTTAATATTGCTCTGCAGATGTATCACATTTTCTCATGCTGCAATCACCAAAACTCATTCATGTATTCATTTCAGGTGTCAAATTAAAAAACACAAATGTTAACTGGTAATACTTTTACATGTTCTGGCTGTAATGTTGATGGTTAAAAAGGAAAAAAAGACCCTGTTCTGTTCTCTGGGATTAATAAGACAATTGTCTTCTTTTTGACTTAAAGACATTTCCATCCGTAAGGAGTCTGAATTTGAATTCTAAAGCACAGAAAATATATGATTAATGTCTGTTTGCATTTTGTTGCACTTTGGAAAAGATGAATGTGGTGCATCTACACTGAAATGCCAATAAATACTGCTGTTACCACTTTTGAAATGTTGATCTAAATGCATTTTTGTAATGGAATTCCTTGAGTTAACTAATGAAAAGCAATGTGAGCTCTTGGCAAGAAGAGTTTCTACCATCCTTTTCAGAGAGCACATTTACACTTAGATTTCAGCTTGACAGTGTGAATGTAGTCCTACCAGCTGTGTGCTCTTGCATTGACCCTCTTCTCCACAGTTTGTGCATGCTAACCTTCCCCCCCCTCACACTCCGCTCCATCACTACCCCACGGATGCCTGCTCTGTTGCATGCATCAACCTCCCACCCCGACCCAGCCCCCCTCCCACAACCTCCTTGGCTCCTCCCACCTTTGGTATGTTAACTTATTTTTTTCTTTTTAAAGATGGGCCGTAGCAGTTATGATTATTGTTGGAATTGGTGTTGATGGCCTGGCGATGCATGACGTTCCTTTTTAAATTAATCATTTCTGACTAAGTTTTAGATGTCAAATGAGACATTATTTTTGTCTTCTCAAACATGTGCTTTATCTTTCAGAGATTCGCTTGAGGAAACTGGTGGATGAGCGTGAAAAAATGATAGAGCAGGTGGGTCAGTGATTCATGAATTATCTGAGACGGTGCTGTTGGTAATAGACAGTTGTATCTGAAATTTAAATCAGAAGCACAGTGGCATGTCGAGAGACTACAGTATATTACAATTATAGCAGACTGTTGCAAGTAAAACTGAGGTGCCTACAGCATTATTCACTTTTTTCTGTTCAGATGTTTAATGTGAATGCTGCGATTGTCTTTTAAAGGGAAAAACCATATTCTGTATTTGTCTTACTGTCAATAAATGATCTCTTTCACTGGATTTGTTGACAATAAGAAATAGAGAATAATGCCTTCAAATCCTTTAAAACACTTGCAATATCTTCTATCATATAAATATATTATATACAGGGTTTCTGTGGGAAGTCTAAAATCCAATAATCTGAATTTTAGGCCTTGAAATGTTTTACAAATGATTTTGTTGTATTATTGAACTTAATGTTGCTTCAGTTGTTTTTAAATGTGTCTTTCTTTTTAAATTCTATCGATCATGCTGCAACTACAAAATGAAACAGACATGGAATCTATACGATTTGCTTTCATTAAATAGGTCTTAAACTGCATTGCATAATGGTCTGTAATTCTTAATTTTAACCTGTTGAAACCTGCAGAAACCTTGCATATAATATCATGGCCTACATAAATTGGAGGTGGCCAACATTAGTGAAACATGCGTAAAGAATTCCTCAGCTGAGAACTTGTGAGTGTGAGCAGTCGTCATATGTTCCTCATGGTGTTCCTCAGGAAGTGTCTGTCATTCATCAGCTGATGTGTTGTGGCTCCCTCTACAGGTCAAGAAATTAAAGGCCCAGCTGGACCAGAAGACACAGAGGAATGGCACCGAGAACACTTCAAGCCCAGATGGTGAAATTCTTGAAAACGGCAACGATCCAAACATATTAGAACTGCAGAGTCAGTATCCAAATGCATGAACAGAACCAGGTGCAGTTCGCTATTTTAGTATCTCTTGCAACTCAAGAATATCTGCCTTTGCTAAATCTTTCCAGGAGATTCAAACAGACAAATAAGTGACTTGAAGTTCAAACTGGTGAAGGCTGAGCAAGAGGTCACGGCTTTGGAACAAAATGTAAGCTGAGGAATAACGAATTCATAGCATACCTAAAAACACGACGACATTCTCACTAACAAGTCTATTTTTTAAAATTATTTTCTTGTTTCCAGGTGACCAGACTCGAGGGTCAGGTGACGCGCTACAAGTCTGCAGCCGAGAACGCAGAGAAAGTGGAGGATGAGCTGAAGGCAGAGAAACGGAAACTACAGAGAGAGGTAGTGTTTTTTTCTTAAGCCAAGTTCAGACCAAAAACGAGTTGACACTCGTGTATCATCTGCATAGCAACAACTCTGTACTCCAATATGAATGGAGATAGTGAGTTACTAGCTACAGTTTTGCAGTTTATTGCCTTTAATTGGTAGTGACAGGAAATAGGGGGAGAGAGGGGGGGATGACTCGCAGCAAAGGGCCGCAGGTCAGAATTCGAACCCATGGCTACTGCAGCAAGGACTCACATAGTGGCACATAGTGTGCCAGCTCTACCGGGACGCCCCCCAGTTGAATTTTACTGATGAAACAACGATAATATAAAGAATAAGCTGGAGAATTTGGAGCCGTCTATGGGTGCCCTTCATTCAAGTACATTTTAAGGCTTGTGCCATACAGACAATGCTGTTCGTCAAACAAACTGATGAGGTGATCCTGTCTTTTTGCGTCCAAAATGCCATTTCGACCAGCTGGCAGTTTGTAAGTGACTTGGCCAGCTGACTGCTGAAGCCGTATGCTCTAAAACCAGCCACTGCAGATTTAACAAGGTGAGTCACAAGAAAGGCATCAGCCGGCTTGAGTCGAGTTGAGATGGGTCAGTTAACACAGCGGCAACTTTTCTCGTCAACGTTCTGAAATGGTTCCATCTCATGGTGAATCTTTGGTCTGAACTGGGCTTTACGCTGCAGAAAAGACATGCTCGCTTATTTAAGAGGCTCTGTTTTAATTTACTGTCTGTTCTGTCTCCTATGACCCAATAGTTGCGATCAGCGATGGACAAGGTCGATGAACTTGAGTCAAACAACAGCCACCTTTCTAAAAGACTGGAGAAGATGAAGACTACCCGTGGCATGGCACAGACTCCTTAGACCTGCATCCACTCCAACTCCGCTCTATCTAAAACTGGCTGATCACCTTGAAGGAAAACAAATCTTCCCGCATTTTGGAATTCTCTTTCTATCTGCCTGATAGCAACCTTAAGAAAAAGAACAAAAAAAACCAAATTTAGTTATCATATCAACAGAATAGAGAACACCAACAAGCAATGTGCCATTTCTTTGTCTGTTTTCTGTCTGAGAGTTCCTCGTAGCACCCAGAAAGTACATGAAGTGAGGGAGTGGACGTGTGTGTACCTCATGACGTTGGTTGAACCTCTGCACTGCTCTGCTATAAGAGGGGGAGGGGGGATGGGCCTCACGGAGGGCACCAAGAAGACTTCTCTGTTTTCCGGTGGTAGCGAGAGACAAAATGTTGCACTGCCCTCTTCCTGCTGCCTCTCATCAAGATGTTCACCTGCCTCGCTCGCGTGGAGGACAGAGACATTGTGTCCATGGCCCCAAGACTGTTAACCCTCATTGCTGAGAAGACATGAGTGCTTTGTGTGTGTTGTGAATGAAAGAGCAAAATCAAGTGTATTTTCTGACCTTTTCCCCTCATTTGCATCCAAAGCCAAACTATTTTTAGAAATGTAAATGTTTCGGTGAGTTTGTCACTTGTGGTAAAACTGAACAGGATTGCTCAGTTTCTTTATGGAGCACGCCCGACGCAGTATAATCATCACAGTCAAAAAAGTCACCGGCTTCCAGTTGTAGTACCTTTTTACGTAGCCAGCAGACCTGACAACAGGTTATTGAACGTTGAGCAGTTTGACCCACAGCGTGTAACCGCCCTGCTGCTGAGATCCGGTCCCGTCTCCGAGCTGCTTCCTGCTTCGTATAGTCAGTCACTGGTTGGCTCTTGTGCACACACTTAATTGCTGAGACTTAACTGAAGAAATGTGACAACGGGGACTCAAAGCAGTGTTAGCAGGAGATACTGAACACACTGGGGAGATGCTGCTTCACTGTTTACAAAGCTTTAAAATGTTTGTAAGGAAACATAAAGAACTGTAATCTTTGTGCAATAAAAGTTTAAACCATATTGGTATCTGCACATGTGCGTTTCAGTCCTGGACTTTTCATTCTTTCCCCGTACTACATTGTTCTCCACATGTTCGTGGCTGTTTCCGTTATCAGCACACATTGGAGGCTACAGTTCAATATAGAGCTTTGAAACCGTTGTTTGGAAAGCTCTGGAATGAACGACTAGGTAGACCTTGAGTTGATGCTGTGTCAGTATATTGAGTTGTATTTAAGTACAGCAGCGTATTGTTGAAATGTTTTACTGAGCCTTTTCATGTAACAAGATATTTATACATTATTATGACATTCTTGGTCATACTTAATATCAAATTCCATTTTTAAAGGAAAGCTATAACAAGACTTCTTTATTCACTCATTAATGAAGAATATCTTGTTATAAAATGAAAAAAGAAATTTGTCATTTTTGTGAATGTAACGAAAAAGCTTTGCAGTTATTTGCGATGCATTTCATTATCCAATATAATAACGTTTTCTCAGAAGTAAACTACTGTATTTTTGCCATATTTTAAGACGTTAAGGTGAATCCTCCTGGACATTAGCCAGTTCATCCTTCCACACACTGTTAGAATCACATTCAACAGCATCCCATAAGTGCAACAGGGGTGTTTTTATTGGTTACTCCACATTCCTCTGGACACTTATCCAGGTTTGGTGAGTTGACTGCTGGGTAATGTGCCGTCAGGGTCCTCCCGTGTAGCTGTTCTCGTCAGACTGTCACTGTACGTCCGCTTTTGGATGCGCTGTATCATACGGCGGCCATAAAAGTCCCGATAATCTGCCGGGAGTTCATCCAGAGTGTGCAGGGCTCTCTCCAGCGCCTGCAGGGCTCGAGACGCAGCCACGGGGTCTTTATTACCGTACGGGTCCTTTTTGTCGTAGCTGTCTGCAGGTAGGTGGCGCCAGAACACGTTTACACCCACACCAAACTGCAGCGCCAAGGTGTTGTGGAACCACAGGGCTGAGGAACACAGGGACGCTGGATTATTTCCTTGTAGTGGTTAATATAACGGTAGTGACTGTGCTGTGTTTCATCTGTGTTAACATTAAGCTCCCACTGGGATTCGTGTGCTACAGTTTCATGATAGTATGAGGATGAGAATATCTGAAGCTGGGATCGCAGGAAGATCTGATTAAGGCGGACATGTTCGTCTTACCAGGGATAAAAAGCAGATCTCCGGGCTCGAGCACACACTCGTATCTCTTCGCCTTCACAAACTCAGGAAACCGTTTCAGATCCGGGGAGTCGATGTCAAGAACCTCCGATTTATCACCTGAAGGAATGAATTCACATTCAAAAGAGGCTTTATATTATCAGAGTGAGCTATTAAAAAACACTAAATCCATTTAATATGACTAATACAGACTTATACAGTATATTTTTAGCATTAAAACAAAAAAAGTAATAGAAAAAAAAAAGGTAAATACACAGATGATACAGTAAAAACAACCTAAACTTTAGTGCACTTTATAATCATATACCAGTTTCTCCACTATTACCAACATTTTCAGCTTTCCTTTAGTACGTTTTTTCATTGGGTCACAAAATGACAGATCCTTAATATACGGATTCATACTTGGATTGTTGACATTTTTCCAGCCGGTAGCTTTTAGCTTGTAGAAGACACGAGTCTATTAATTAATTCTTCTCGGAAATAAAATCACTTATTACATTTCATTTCCATTCCCACTCACCTGACAGGTAGAGGTGCAATGCATCCTGGGGGCTGTAGAGAACCACACGCTTCATCCCCGTCACCTGAGCCAGCAGGTTATCCATCACCTGGCGGAGTGAAGCCCAAAAACCAGAAGAGGAAGGGTTCATAAATGTTAAAGAATTCAATTATCAGTTTAAAGAAACGACTCTGATGCTGATGAGTGCAGCACGAACAAAAAGCATCTCCGTAAAAAACTGAACAAACAAGCGGAGACACCAAAAGCAGGAAGACTCACGTCGTAGTGCGTCCACAGCTGCAGACCACAGGAGCTGATACGGAAGACACTGGAGAAAAACTGATCCGCTGCAAAGAACTGTGGGATGTTAAAATCCTCGGCCAGGTCTGGGAACTGTTTGCTCAGATCAGCAGGTTCCTGTGAGAGAGAGACGTGTAGAAGTCTGGTGAGGAGCTTCTGTAGAGTCAGACAGAGACTTTATAACATCGAAATATAAAAGAATATGGCAGCAGGATCTTCATACCCTTCGTACGTCCTCTCCCAGTGATCGAAGATAGTAGCTCTCATCCTAAAACGAGACCGAGGACTTCCATTAAAAAGAGACACTGTAAAGAAATGTACGGATCATGTCTTTATTGTATGATCGTTACCTCACACAAGAAGAAGTCAGAGTGTTTTCTTTCAGAAGCCCTTTTCACAAATTCATTAAAAGGCAGAGTCCTGTGAATGAGGAGGAGCAGCTGAGAGATCTGCAGAGACAGAGGACTGGTGTGTGTGTGTGTGTGTGTGTGTGTGAGTGAGAGAGAGAAAGAGAGACAGCTCACTTGTATGCAAAGTTTTTGTGAAGGAAGTCCATCTGTGGCACCGTGGACACGTGGATCTTCACTTCCTTGTCTCCCCCTTTCTGTCCGAGATATTCAACCGTCCACTTTTCCAGACAAGGTCCGAGACGAACGGCCCTCAGCACGGCGGGTCTGCGCTGGGAGGTCAGCACAGATAGTGTAAGGTCAGCTCGGGTTGGGAGACAATCTGAGGCCATAGAGTTTATAGGATGTGAGGCTGGAATAGCCTAATGAGTAGACACTACTTATAGTGCATTATGGGTATTGTAGGAGTTTTTTGGGGACTTGGCTCATGGAGACTTAAAGTCAGGAGATCTTCTTTAAGACATTGAAAACATACGCATCATATGCAGCTTAGAGATCTGAAGCAGGGTGAAGGCCTCTGCCTCAGTGCTCCTCTAGCTGTCTGTCTGCTGTCTGTCTGTCTGTCTGCTGTCTGGTCTTTGCAGGCTGTCTTGCACCTGCAGGCTGGGTCCGGGGTTATGTCTCACTCTGTCTCACTCTCTTCCCATCAACATTTAGTCTTTTTGGTTCTTCATCTTTGTTTTGCCCACACACATCCAACACTGCAGCCACCACTGACTAACAGACTACAGATTACTGTAAGTCTTCCAGCCTGAACCAGCAAATCCTCCCACCTGACCCACTGAAGCCAGAGAATATATAAATGACTCAGATTAATAACTGATCCTCTCAATTGTAGGTGGTTACATTTCTGCCAGTAAAAGCTTTAATATCAACCTGAGCAGTAGAGCTGCTGTTACACGTCCTCGTACACACAGACTCCAGGTCAGCTGCAGCAGACTGGTGCGGGTGGATTTTGTTGCATTCACGGACACAAACAGCGGATTTAATCTCACCTCTGGGTAAATGTCTCGCACAAAAACATCCTTGTCCACGTCTGTAAATATCGGCACAGCTACTTTTTCCTGGAGCTCCATTTAACATGCCCCGGTGTCACGTTGTTAGTGTTCCCCGTGGGACACTTAACAACGGAAAAACAACCTAATTTTGATATTTTCCTACAAAATAAGACGATGGTTTGATGCATACTCAAAATATGCATTATATTCTTCATATTTTGTTACGTCACTATGTGTATTTTTAATAGTTGCTCTTTATTCCTCACCGGAAGCTTAGAGTACACGGACAAGAAGAGCCAGGAAGTCGCTCATTGCGCTCTTCAATAACAGAGAACAGCTTCAGATGTCTTTATTCAAATACTCAAATTAAATCTAGTTTCATAATCTTTGTAACAAATTAACATACAGAATATAAATCCAATACAGTCAAACACCTTCAACGTCGGTTTATAACCAGAAAACCAAAGAAACAATAATAATAATAATATAAAAAAATATAAATAAATAGAATATACTGCATCTTTTTTATTATTATTAAACACACAATAACAAACATACAGGAACTCATGGAAAACACATACTTAATAAAATTAAGTCTATAATAATATACAACATGAATAAAATAGGGGGATTTATAACAATATTATCAATAACAACAACAACAAATAGAGACTAGAATTGCATTAATTAATTTTGTATTACATTTTAAACACTACTGCTTTCTTTCTGTTGTTATTTTGGCATGCATTGCTCTCTAAATCCTCTTTAAATAACCTGTTCTGTCAACCACTTTGTTTTTGCGTTTTATTTTGTCTGAAAGGTGAAACTTAAATAAAGCACAATTGTTTTATTTTGTAAGAAATTGCCTTACCATATAAATAAAGTAAAACATATTCAAATCAAGAAACACAATACATGTTTTATATAGAAAATAGGAAATGAATGGCACATCAACTTTAGTTTTTTAAATCTTTAATAAAACAATCAAACTATGTACACTCACACAGTACATATACGGCATGTACCTCCGGGTTCTGAGTCAGTGTTTTTATGTGGAAATCTGGCTTCATCTTACATCTTTATAGCAAAAAGTGCTACATAGACAAGTTCTCTACTTGGGAATAGAGTCAGTATACACAGTATACACAACAGTGAGTCCTTTCAAACATAGAAAACAAGCCCCCACCCGTATGACGTTACACTTTTATAAAGTCTAGAAATGTGTTGAATATCATATTTGATCCGTTCCTGAATGAACAAAACCTTCCAGAGCAAGAGTTTCCAATTAAATCAGTTTCTTTTGGGGGGGGAATCAGATATGATGAAGAAAAACAATGATATACCGTATCTGTGAGAATACGTGTGTTTGGCTCATGTGTCTTTCCGACAATGTCTGTTCTGAACTCAGTTTAATCAAAGAAAACGCTGAGGATTGATTTTAATGTCTTTGACTAGTTTCCACTGGCACGACTGCCTCAAATCAAAAACACCTTATCCAAAAGCTTGGAGTGCTCCACCCTCGTAATGGTCCAGTCCGGAGGCGCTCCTTTAGTAAACTCCCTTTGGAATCTGTCGGGGAGCCAAAAAGAAAGATCAGAACAAAGATTCTTTACATTTTATTATGTACCTGACAAGAAAGATACACTCACTCATAATTTGCTGTTAACAGTCTCTTTCCCTTTCCACCAAAACCCATCTGGGAGATGAAGTCCTCCAGGGTGTCGTCAGGAAGACGCGCGCTCGTCAGATACCAGAAACGCATCAGGATACTGACAAACTTTCTCCCTGTGAACAGAATACAGACACTGGTTCCATGTTTTCCCTGTTAAAAGGGGTTTCTGGGGAGTTTTTCCTTATTTACATTGAGGGTGCAGTACGCTGTACAGACTGCGAAGCCCCTTGAGGCAACTTTGTGATTCATAATATTGTGCTACATAAATAAAACGGAAAATAATAAAATAAAGAGTTTCACAATAATGAAATTGATACACTAATATTTAGGATACAAGACCATCATAGACATTAAAACTTTGTATTCACGTCTTACACTTTAAACTATTTCACTCTGACCGTTATCATCATAGTGGATTCCTACGTCTCCAGGTGCCGTGTACATGATCTCATCAGATTCTGCAGAGAGAGCTTTCTTGTGGGTCGACGACAGCTGGTTGCACTTTTCCTCGAGCTTCCCGATCAACTGCAAGGAGACCAAAATTAGATAAACAGCTAATGTCACATGTATCTCGGGGGAATAACTTTGTTTGTTTGTTGTTATTTTTTTGCCCCTCAGGACCCCTTGTGGTTCAGGGCTCGGCCGGTCCTGTCTTACAGCTCAGACCTATTAAATCCTCAAATGTCCTCACTGTCTCTGAGGTTCTCTGACCTGAAGCTGGTGTCTAATCCACGTTCTGGGCTGAAACACAAAGAAGGTAAAAGCCTTCGCTGCTAGCCCCGGTGTGTGTTCTGTATCTGTTACTTGTTAACCTTGTCTTGAAGACTGTACAGCATTTTGGTGATCAGTGTTGTTTTCGAGGTACGTTTCATAAACTTCCACCATAAAATGCGGTATTATTATTATTATTATGAACCGTAGAACTCTGAAGGACCTGTGAAGGGTGTTATGTGCTGTGGAGCAACAGGAGAGACTGCAGCTGTGTCCTGGTTTCATACTACATTAGCAGGATGCAGTGTGCTCACCCTACAAGAGTTAAATATACTCAAAAAAAAGTCAGAACGTTTAACTGAAAAACTGCTGTGAGACGGCTCTGAAGAAAATGAGATATTAAATATCTGGACGAGCACTTTCTATTCTATTGGTGCCATTTAATCAGCTGTTGTATACTAACTGTAAAAACAGTGCACGCAGACGGAGAACTGTACTGTATGCATGTTGTACTGGGTGTAGTGCGGGATTAGGGATCGAGTTTGGACCTGCCGGGTTCCCATACTCACGTCTTCAGCCACGAGTCCTTCCAAAGCTTCAAACTTACATTGTGACAACAGTCTGGAAACATGAGAGAAAGCCTGCAAGAGTCAACAAACAGTGGTTGAATGTAACCGAGTTCATTTACTGAAGACAAATACTGAATTTAAGTTCCCGTTGGAGGAACTTGGACTCTACTCGGGTCTTTATACGCTAAGATTTTTACACACAAAACATATTAAGAGTTTATAAAATATATGTTTTGTTATTATAAGAGATTAAAAAACTGGTCATTTTAAATGTTCCAGCCAGATCAATAATGTTTTCTTTTAAATGTTCCTTCTGTGTCCCATAACAGAGAGAAGTCACTGCCTCTGGATATTACAATGGTTGAGCTTTAAAGAGGAAATTAAACCTTTTTAATCTGGATTTTACTTTTAGTTTTAGGTTTTAATCGTTGCTTTCTACATTATTTGTCTCCCTGGTGTTTAATTTTACATCCACTTTTGTCTTTATTGTATTTTTACAGTCTCGTTGTTGTGTTTCTGTGTTATTTCAGTTTGTTGTGTGAAGCCTTTAGTACAGTCCCTGCTTTTACACCAACGCATGAGTACAAACCCTCTGAGTGTCAGTAATCAATATATTGATCAGCACCCTCTGAGTGTCAGTAATCAATATATTGATCAGCAGTAACACTGATAACAGAGTGTGTTAACAGCAGTAAAAGCATCTGAACACATTCAATTACTGTTCAATAACTTTATCTGCTCGCTGACCTGCGTCGCTCCCTCCGTGAACTCTTCACGGTTGAACTCTTTATCGAAGTAAGCTCTGATCAGGAAGAAATATATCCGGATACGGAACCAGATGAAAGGGTTCGGGAGAACCACCACCACCTTCTGGGTCTGGTTCTGGTTCTGGTTGTCCCGGTCGGAGCTGTACGGGCGGGCCGGTGGTGAGGAAGGTAGCAGCGCTTTGTTGGACCGGTTCGGGTTGATTCTGTTGGTTAATAACAACCGAGTGAAGATAAATGTTGACGGCAACCCGTAACAACCTCTCAGACGGCGCAGCGCCATCTTTGTTTATGTTTCCTTCTTCTTCTTCTTCTTGGTCTCTGAATGTCGTCACCGTGGACACGTCACCGCCACCTACCGTACAAGAGTGAATGTCCCGGTTGTCACACTGTTAGTGTTCCCCATAGCAACGAGGAAAGTTAAAGTCGACTGTAAAAAAATAAATTAAAAAAATAAATTAAAAAAACACATAATTTGGATACCGTATGACAAAAATACGGTGAAATTTTGATAAAAACTAAAAATGGTATCGTATTTATATTTTGTTGCGTACCGGAAGTTACTACTACACGGACAAAGAAGTGGCTTCCGAGGAAACAAAGATGGCGCTGCGCCGTCTGAGAGGTTGTTACGGGTTGCCGTCAACATTTATCTTCACTCGGTTGTTATTAACCAACAGAATCAACCCGAACCGGTCCAATAAAGCGCTGCTACCTTCCTCACCACCGGCCCGCCCGTACAGCTCCGACCGGGACAACCAGAACCAGAACCAGACCCAGAAGGTGGTGGTGGTTCTCCCGAACCCTTTCATCTGGTTCCGTATCCGGATATATTTCTTCCTGATCAGAGCTTACTTCGATAAAGAGTTCAACCGTGAAGAGTTCACGGAGGGAGCGACGCAGGTCAGCGAGCAGATAAAGTTATTGAACAGTAATTGAATGTGTTCAGATGCTTTTACTGCTGTTAACACACTCTGTTATCAGTGTTACTGCTGATCAATATATTGATTACTGACACTCAGAGGGTGCTGATCAATATATTGATTACTGACACTCAGAGGGTTTGTACTCATGCGTTGGTGTAAAAGCAGGGACTGTACTAAAGGCTTCACACAACAAACTGAAATAACACAGAAACACAACAACGAGACTGTAAAAATACAATAAAGACAAAAGTGGATGTAAAATTAAACACCAGGGAGACAAATAATGTAGAAAGCAATGATTTAAAACCTAAAACTAAAAGTAAAATCCAGATTAAAAAGGTTTAATTTCCTCTTTAAAGCTCAACCATTGTAATATCCAGAGGCAGTGACTTCTCTCTGTTATGGGACACATAAGGAACATTTAAAAGAAAACATTATTGATCTGGCTGGAACATTTAAAATGACCAGTTTTTTAATCTCTTATAATAACAAAACATATATTTTATAAACTCTTAATATGTTTTGTGTGTAAAAATCTTAGCGTATAAAGACCCGAGTAGAGTCCAAGTTCCTCCAACGGGAACTTAAATTCAGTATTTGTCTTCAGTAAATGAACTCGGTTACATTCAACCACTGTTTGTTGACTCTTGCAGGCTTTCTCTCATGTTTCCAGACTGTTGTCACAATGTAAGTTTGAAGCTTTGGAAGGACTCGTGGCTGAAGACGTGAGTATGGGAACCCGGCAGGTCCAAACTCGATCCCTAATCCCGCACTACACCCAGTACAACATGCATACAGTACAGTTCTCCGTCTGCGTGCACTGTTTTTACAGTTAGTATACAACAGCTGATTAAATGGCACCAATGGAAAAGAAAGTGCTCGTCCAGATATTTAATATCTCATTTTCTTCAGAGCCGTCTCACAGCAGTTTTTCAGTTAAACGTTCTGACTTTTTTTTGAGTATATTTAACTCTTGTAGGGTGAGCACACTGCATCCTGCTAATGTAGTATGAAACCAGGACACAGCTGCAGTCTCTCCTGTTGCTCCACAGCACATAACACCCTTCACAGGTCCTTCAGAGTTCTACGGTTCATAATAATAATAATACCGCATTTTATGGTGGAAGTTTATGAAACGTATCTCGAAAACAACACTGATCACCAAAATGCTGTACAGTCTTCAAGACAAGGTTAACAAGTAACAGATACAGAACACACACCGGGGCTAGCAGCGAAGGCTTTTACCTTCTTTGTGTTTCAGCCCAGAACGTGGATTAGACACCAGCTTCAGGTCAGAGAACCTCAGAGACAGTGAGGACATTTGAGGATTTAATAGGTCTGAGCTGTAAGACAGGACCGGCCGAGCCCTGAACCACAAGGGGTCCTGAGGGGCAAAAAAATAACAACAAACAAAGTTATTGGCTGACATATACAGCGGGTAAAGTAAGTATTGAACACATCACCATTTTTCCTCAGTTAATATATTTCTAAAAGGTGCTTTTGTCATAAAATTTTCACCAGATGTCGGTAACAACCCATGCAATCCACACACGCAAAGAAAGCAAGATAAAGTTATGTGTAATAAAATGGAATGACACAGGGAGAAAGTATTGAACACGCTTACTGAAATGTATTTAATACTTTGTATAAAAGCCTTTGTTGGTAAAGACAGCTTCAAGACGCCTCCTGTATGGAGGAACTAGTCACCTGCAGTGCTCAGGTGTGATTTTGGCCCATTCTTCAGCACAAACAGTCTTCAAATCTTGAAGTTTCCGTGGGCTTCTTCTATGAACTCTGATCTTTAGTTCTTTCCATAGATTTTCTATTGGATTCAAGTCAGTTCATTTTCTTTCTCTGAAACCAATTGAGTTTCCTTTGCTGTGTGTTTGGGATCATTGTCTTGCTGAAATGTCCACCCTCGTTTCATCTTCATCATCCTGGTAGACGGCAGCAGATTTTCATCAAGAATGTCTCGGTACATTTTTCCATTCAGCCCCACACCATGATGTTCCCACCTGTTCACTGTTGGTATGGTGTTTTTGGGGTGGTGTGCAGTGCCATTTGACCTCCAAACATGCTGTGTATTATGGCATCCAAAGAGTTGAATTTTGGTCTCATCTGACCAGACTATATTCTCCCAGTATTTCACAGGCTTGTCTAAATGTTGTCTAAGTCTTGCGCGGTGAGCGTGCATACAGGCCACGGCGATTGAGTGCGTTACTTATTGTTTTCTTAGAAACAATCGTACCTGCTAATGCCAGGTCTTTCTGAAAGCTCTCCACAAGTGGTCCTTTCGCTCTTGGACAACTCTTCTGATAAGTCTTTTCACTCCTCTGTCAGAAATCTTGCGAGGAGCACCTAGTCGTGGCCGGTTTATGGTGAAATGACGTTCTTTCCACTTCCGGATTATGGCCCCAACAGTTCTCACTGGGACATTCAGAAGTTTAGAAATCCTTCTGTAACCAATGCCAGCAGTATGTTTTGCAACAATAAGGTTGCGAAGGTCTTAAGAGAGCTCTTTGGTTTTACCCATCATGAGATGTTTCTTGTGTGACACCTTGGTGATGAGACACCTTTTTATAGGCCATCAGTCGGGACTGAGCCAGCTGATATTAATTTGCACTGACCAGTGACAGGATTGTTCTCTAACTACTGATAGATTCCAGCTGGTGTCTTGGTTTTCCATGCCTTTTTGCTCCTCCCTATCGTCATGTGTTCAATCATTTTTCTCTGTCATTTCACATTATTACACATAACTTCATTTATGGACATCCATGGTTTGATTTCTTTCTCTTGCATGGGTTGTTACCGACATCTGGTGAAAATGTCATGTCAATAGCACCTTTAGAAATATATTTACTGAGACAAATGGTGACGTGTTCAATACTTATTTTACCCGCTGTATGTGACAGTAGCTGCTGTTTGTTGTGTGATGTTGACAGACAGAGAATTGTTGAAAAAAGTAAAAATATGATGATTTTGAACCAGTAGCTTTATGCTGTTGTTGTTATTTAGCCTTTCTGAGGCTATGGCTATATCAATGAATTTAATTGTATGATATAATTGCCCCCTCACTATTTTTAACAGCCCCCCCTCAGTCACTTCATGCTGATGCTGGGCCTGGAACCAGCCCACTAAGTGCCAGGTTTTAAATTAGTTTCATCCCACACTGAAAACAAAGACAGACATTTGTCAGGCGTCTGGAAACTATTATAAAGAAACAGCCCATAGAGGAGATAGTGAGCCTGTTTGTGGAACAAATCATCGCTATAAAACATTACATAATCAGGACATCGATAAACTTCTTCTATATAACAGGTGCAATCTCTCTACTCAAGTTGAGCTTTGTCTAATTTTGGTCTCCTTGCAGTTGATCGGGAAGCTCGAGGAAAAGTGCAACCAGCTGTCGTCGACCCACAAGAAAGCTCTCTCTGCAGAATCTGATGAGATCATGTACACGGCACCTGGAGACGTAGGAATCCACTATGATGATAACGGTCAGAGTGAAATAGTTTAAAGTGTAAGGCTGGTGATATCTGTCTGTTCCTTCTCACTGTCTGCCAACAAATCCCATGAAAATCAACAACGAACTGATCCGACAAACACGCGATATATCCGATAGATCTTATTCCTCTGTGCCACGGAGCTCCATTGTCGTATCAGTGAGCCACACTGTTGCACTGGGTGACATCTTCCTTCATTACCATCAACACACAAACACACACACTGTAGTTTATTTTGACTTAATCCCACATACACCACCCTGCTGCTGTAAATACACCCCACATCTTCAGTAGGAACCAATGGAGTGACACAGACAGGGGAGAGAAGCTGGAAGCTGTTAAGAGACAAACTAACAGAGTTGATTTTGATTTTTTTTTTGACAATAAAAATACAGAATAAACCGAGCTTTAACTTTTTATATGTAAATACAATGTTTAAATGTATATGATGGTTTTGTATGCTGAATATTAGTGTATAAATTGCATTATTGTGAAACCCTTTATTTTCTTTAGTTGCCTCAAGGGGCTTCACAGTCTGTACAGCATACTGCACTCTCAATGTAAATAGAAAAAACTCCCCAGAAACCCCTTTCAACAGGGAAAACATGGAAGAAACCTCAGGAAGAGCAACAGAGCAGGCTCCCTCTCCCAGGACGGGCCGACATGTAATAGCTGCTGTGTGTGCAGAATAGACTGCGTGGGATTATTTGTGCGGTGTTAACCAGTGTCTGTATTATCTTCACAGGGAGAAAGTTTGTCAGTATCCTGATGCGTTTCTGGTATCTGACGAGCGCACAAATTCCTGACGAGACCCTGGAGGGTAGCTTCACCTTCCAGGTTAATTTTGGTGGAGAGGGAAAGAGACTGCTAACTGCAAATTATGAGTGAGTATATCTCTCTTGTCAGGAGTGTAACGACTTGTACGCATAACATTTTAAAAATCTTTGTTCTGATCTTTCTTTTTGGCTCCCCGACAGATTCCAAAGGGAGTTTACTAAAGGAGCGCCTCCGGACTGGACCATTACGAGGGTGGAGCACTCCAAGCTTTTGGATTAAGGTGCCTTTGATTGAAGGCAGTCGCGCCAGTGGAAACTAGTCAAAGACATGAAATCAAACCTCAGCGTTTTCTTTGATTAAACTGAATTTAGAAAAATGGCTCAAGGAAATCCACAGAGGGGGAAAACAAGACGCAGCTGCTCCCTGGGAAGTCAGAGGACAGCACCGAGACAAACAAGGATTCATCCATGAGACATTGTAGGAAAGACACATGAGCCTCACAGATACGGTATATCATTGTTCCTCACGGTTTTCTTCATCATATCTGATTTCCCCCCCCCCCAAAAAAAACAAAAAACAGTGATTATGTTGGTCGGGAAGGTTTTGTTCATTCAGGAACGGATCAAATATTATATTCAAATAATTTATAGACTTTATTAAAGTGTTATGTAACATCATACGGGTGGGGCTCACTGTGGTCTGATACTGTATTTCCAAGTAGAGAACTCTTGTTTCTCTATGTAGGACTGTGTGGTATAAAGATGTAACAATCAATGTACCAGATTTATTTCCACACAAAAACATTTTCTTTTCGTTTTTCCCCCCCTCACACAAAATATTTGTCAGTCACCTGACCCGGAGGTACATGCCTTTTATCTACTGTATGTGTGTACATAGGGTGTTTGCAAGTGCTAAGACAGCTTGAAGCAGCTGCAGATGACTTTTTGATTGTTTTATTAAAGATTTGAAAAATGAAGTGTGTCATTCTTGTCCTATTTTCTTCACTCAACATGTATTGGATTTCTATTCTATATACATATATATTTTTTTTATATTTGTGATATGGTAAGGCAACTAAGCTTTATTTATATTGCACCTAAAAAGGCAATTCAAAGTGCTTTAGAAGTGATTGACAAAACAGATTATTTCAACAGGATTTAGAGAGCAATGCATGTCAAAATAACAATAGAAAGTGTATTAAATAACACTTTAAATCAGAATCAGAATCAGGTTTATTGCCAAGTAAGTTTACACATACAAGGAATTTGCATTTGGTGCATAAGAATCACAAAAAAATCATTTTTAAATATAAATAAAGACAAAGATGAGTAGTTAAGCAAAAAATACAATTATAGAATACTACATACAATAATTGATTATAATAAAACATTAAAATGAAATTTAGCAAGAAGAAGCTCCTGACATATGATTGTGTCATCGGCTGTCCCTGCTCTCCTATTGGTCCATCGGCTCTCACAGTCTCTCCTCTCCCATTGGCCGAACGCACCTGTCAATCACCCGCTGTTTGTATAGTAGGCAGTGTGCGGTTCCTGTTGTGAGAGGTTCCGCCGCCGGTGAGTTATGACAACCTGTGCACACCACCACGGCGAGGAGTTACACAGAATGAAAATTAAAAACTACTAATATATCTTTTAAAAAAATAATAATAATAATAATAAAAACCCAAGACACGGAACCGAACCATGAAACTCGCCACTGTGGCCTTTTACGGGTTTGCTCTGGGGCTTCTGGCGGTCGGCCTGCGAGAGTTGCTGACTGGCTTCGAGGAGAACCGATGCAGTATGACCTATATGTTTGAATACCCGGAGTATCGGGTGAGTAGCCGGTATTATTGTTGTGTTTTTGCAGCTAGAAATGTGCGAGCTAACGTCCACCACCCGACAGGTAATGTCAGGTTCCTCCTCTCTGTACTGTGGTTGTCAGACTCACCTGGTTGGGGGCTTTTGGAGGTGTGCCCTATAGGTTGAGGATTACCTAGATTAGCCCCCCAAATTAGCCAGGTTATAAAACCGTAAATCAGATGCTGATCCTTGAATCCTCTCAGAAAGATTATCAGCAGATCAGCCTTTTGTTTGTTGCACAGAGGCTGGAAAATCAGCATGGGGCGTTTCCACACTTTCTTTTTTATTTTATTTATTTAACTGGGTTGGCATGCAAGTATGTGTCTCAGCTTTCCATTTATTCCCAATGTGTTCAGTTTAAATACTGTTTATGGACTCCAGTGTGCAGAGATATAAAGATACACTAGATGGTGGGAAGGTTGCAAAGGGTGGAGACTTGTGGGTACCCACAGAACCCATTTTTATTCAGATATCTTGAGGTCAGAGGTCAAGGGATCTCTTTGGAAAATGGCCAATGCCAGTTTTACCATCGCCCATATTTAGTCCAAATGTGGAGCGTTATTTATGTTCCTTTTACTGAGGGCAGGTGAGACAGAGATGCAGTAAATATGCAGAAATTGGAGCATTATTCTTCCCCAAAGGTCTGCCCAAGAATAAGAATCGCAGTCAGAAAATGACAAATTTAAATATCTAATAGGTGAAAAACAGAATTGCTTTACATTATAATGCTGCCACCTGAGGGACAAACATTAAAACACCAACTAATTCTTGATTTTCTGTTGTTGTTATTGCTTTTATAACTTAGTATTTGTTTGCTTTGGCAATAAAGCTAAAAATGTGAGCAATGTAGGACCTAATTTTCTTCCAATCGACTTATTATTTCTAATCAATATTACTGTACACTTATAAAACAATAATAATATACTTGTACAGTACATGTGTAACCGCCAAACATCTGGAGATACATTAAGGGTCAACTATACCAGATACCATTTAGCGTCTCATTACTTACCAATCTTTTATTGTGGATGTGGAGCTTGAATTCACGTGTAAACATTAGAAAAGATCTTGAAAAGCTGAATCTTCAAACAGATTTTATTAGACAGACATTGAACAGAACGAAGTGCAGATATTTATAATAGTCAGGTGAAGACAGTTCGCAATGTAGGTCGCCCTTCCTCTTGCTTTATGCTCACTAATATAATGTGTTCATCTGTCCAGAAGTGGAGCACAGCTGGGGGCAGTGCACTGTATGGGCTTATTGCAGACAGCTTTTTTGTGTTATGTTTTATGAGGGGGGAGATAAAGAAAGAGTCCTATACGTCTAACAAGATCTATTCTGCTTTGTTTGTGTGGTTAATGGACGTGGTCTCTTGTATCAGGGCTACAGAGCTTGTGATGAATGCAGGCAGATGAGAGAGTAAATATTTATATAATTATAAAAAGAGATCAGTGTGATAAATATTATGTGAAATTATTTTGGTTACTTTCTGCTCTTATATTGGATTTTATCAATATTAAGGCTGCAAATAAATCTAATTTCAGTGCTCTCTCAATCGATCGTTTGGGTTAAAACAGATAACAGTTTAAAAGTATATCCGTTTCACCCACCCCAAGTTGATATCTTCATAAACTATAACAATAATAATATAAAAATATTTCATTTACAACAATGAATAACCAGATAAAACACACATTTAAAGGGAGAGTCTGAAAACAGCAAAGTTTTGGCAATATGCTTGATTTATCGATTGTTTCAGATTAATTTTCTCCCATTCGACTGATCGTTTCTAATCAATATTACCCAGCCACAGATTGTACTAACCGCCTACAGGTAACAACCCATTTACCATCTAACCAGTTTACATGAAGGTGTCAGCTACAGACCTGTAGATATGTAGAATAATGGAGGTGTTGTCTGCAGTCTGTGTGTGTAGTCGCTTTTAGAGTACTTTATAGTGAGACTGTTGTGTGTTTTACAAGTGTGACAAAAGGTTAATGAACTGCCTGAGCCCGAATGTGACCGGCCGTTGTGTGTTGACAGCGCGTGGCTCTGCCTCGCCGTGTGGCCAGACTGTACCCAGCGTACGGGCTCTACCTCTACGGAGAGGGTCTGTACGCCCAGGAGACCCGAGCCCTCAAACTAACCGGTGCCCCTGTGCTCTTCCTGCCTGGAAATGCAGGCAGCTACAAACAAGGTAGGTGCACGACATTTAATGAAGGGTTAATAAACGACGGGGGGGAGAAAGCTGTGCGTTTTAAGCTTTGGACTACAGTTGCGTTCAGATGCATAAGCAGGAGGAGGTGCCTTTACTCCCAATAAGTGGATGTGCTGAGGTTGTTTTAAGGACATGAGCGTGGCTTCATGCTTTTTGGTGATTAGTCTCTACCTGAGCGGTGAGCAGACTGGATTGTCCTTCACAGATTTTGCACCGAAGCTTTCAGTGTTTTAAGACAGAATATGTTTCAGGGTTTTTTTTGTATGTGGTGCAGAAATAGAATTCACATGTAAACATTAGAAATGTTATTAATGTTTAAAAACTGGATTTAGCAACAGTTATCCAACATTTTCTCTTTTGTTTTGGGTTGTTTTTTTGTTGTGATAGGGTTCTTGTATCATTTTACGGATATATACACCCAGTGTTATACACTGCTACTGTCAACAAATCTCATGAAAAGACCAAAACCAACAACAGTGTTTTCTGTGTATGCCTCTTAGATATTTAATCTATATATAACCAAATCATAACCTTTTATATAGAGCAGGCCTAGACTGTACTTTAGAAGATTATTTATAGAGACCGAACAGCTCCCACCATGAGCAAGCACCTGGCAAGAAAGTTCCTTTTAAGAGACAGAAAGGAAGTTTTTCCTTGTCGCTATCTGTCTTAGAGCCACACTGTTGCACTTGGTAAGATGTTCCTTCATTACCATGAACACACACACACACACACACACACACACACACACACACACACACACACACACACACACACACACACACACACAGAGTAGTTTATTTTGAGTCAGTCCCATACAACATCCTGCTGCTGCTGTAAATACTCCCTAAAGCACCACATTTGTGTTAATCCACTGCTGAAAATAGTCCCCAACAAGTGTGCCGTATCCTCCTGTTTAAGTAACGTTTGCTAAAAACTACAGTGACCAGCTGTTTCTAAAAATGACTGAGCCTTTCTTAAAAATAAAACTTTATATTTCTGTGGGAGATATTTTCTGTGGGAGATATATGTCCTCATTAGGAACATATGCACTCGGGGCAGGAGTGTCCCAGGGAAGGAAAGTCAGAATGTATTAAAAGACATGTTGTTGGTTTTGGTCTTTTCATGAGTTTTGTTGACCATAATAAAAATATATACGAATGTACTAGTCTGTTATCTTCAATTTATACTTCTATTGGAGCTGGAATTGATTGTGTCTTGGGGAATGAAACCAGGAACCTTTTTAGTGACCTGATACTTTCTCTAACTAATAACCCAGTTATGTTCTCAGTGGTACAAATCCTTCCTGAGATCACGCTGGCTGCCTGTTCTTGCTATCAGTTGTGTGTAGGAGGAAAACACCCGCGCTTTTATTCATGTGAAAACAAACACATTCTGCAGTTACACTCTGGTGTTTGTGATGATGGTCCATCTTCTCTGGTTCCTTAACATTTCTTGTCCCACATTTAGACTCTTCACACTGCTGTATTTTTAACAACAGAAGATGTTTCATAAGCTTCCCAACTTCACAAGTTGCAGCAGCTTTAGGAAGTACTGGTGTTTAAATAAGATCTGGGCGTGCCTCAGGGTTCTTCCATACAGGAAAATGGTACAGTCTATGTAAATTTAATGAGCCCTTTTAAACCGTAAAAGGAGTTTTCTTTTTAGGTCAGGAAGAGCTGCCCTGAGGATCTGAAGGAGCTCGAGACGTGACGGCAAATAAATAATTCAAAATATATTAAAATAATTTGCAAAAGAGCTGTGAATAAATAATTATTGCAGCATGTCAGTTGGAAGAGTAGCTGAGCATAATGGTGGTGATTAGTTTAGCACTAACACTGACTGCACATGTGTATGATTTCTATGAAAATCTGACGCCATCTAATTTCTCCTGCTCGCCGTGAAGCTCGCTCGCTGGGCTCCGTGGCCTTGAGGAAGGCTGAAAACATGGAGGGAGGTCTCCACTTCAACGTGTTCACCGTGGACTTCAACGAGGAGCTTGTGGCCCTCTACGGCGGCAGTTTGCTGAGGCAGACTCACTTCCTGCATGAGAGCATTAAGGCCATCCTGAGACTCTACAAGGTCAGGCCTCAAATATCATCTACTCGTCAGACAGCGTTTCTTACTCTAGATGACGGATGTTGCTCGTGGAGTCGTATTTCAGTGTGGGTGGGGTGGGGGGATACATATCAAGCACATTTCATCACCCTCCACATTTAATTGAACCCTCTGACATGTTCATCTCACTGCAGTAAAGAAGTTGAATAAACTAAAATTCCCTACGTGCATTAAGGAGTGCAATTCAAATTCACAGTTAATAGTAAATATTCAAGTGTCTGTTGACCTGCAGGGGTTGCCAGTACATTACATAGGTTTAACCCGTAACATTTGCTTTATTATATTTTATTGCAGTGTGTATTGACACAGAACAGAGGTTAAATGAGAAAATATTACAAGAACAAGACATTACCCAACAAGACCCCCCCCAAAAAATCACAAAAACATTGCAAATACTAATAAAAATACAGGAAACATTATACTAATGATAAAAAAATAAGCAGTGAGCACACAAGTGTATGCATGCATTGCAAGATAAGGTGGAAGGTGAGAGAGGAAACGACAAAATAGACAAAAAACAAACAGATCAAAACAAAAGCCAAGCAAAAAAAAACACATTTGCAATTGCACACACAGCTACATAGGTGTCAGGATGAATGCCACTTAACAGCTTCTGACCGCAGTACAAGTTGTCTGGCAACCAGCTCTTGGATGTGAAGCTTTAAAGCAATATGAGACAACCAATAGAGCTCCAGTGAGGTCAAATAATGTTTACACACACTGCAGCTACATCAGTCACAGAAACCTGCAAAGTAATTTGATCCAGACCTCGAAGATCATGACAGCTGACCTTTTTAAGTTAAAGTTAAAATGAACAAATAGGAGACTCTAGAAATATATGTTTAATGTCCTACACCTACCTGTGGCCTTTCTGGTAGCCACTGAGTGAGTTCAGTCTGTTTTCTCTTTTCCTCCGTCTGCCAGCACCTGAAGACCCCCCCTCAGAGCGTGGTGCTCGTTGGGCACTCCATGGGAGGAGTGGTGGCCCGGGCGTTGTACACTTTGCCCCGCTTCAACACCAATCTGGTCAGCCTCATCATCACCCAGGCCTCCCCTCACCTGGCCCCAGTGCTGGCCCTGGACCCATACCTGCTGGGTAAGGAGAACTCTCTCTCTCTCTCTCTCTCTCTCTCTCTCTCTCTCTCTCTCTATGATACATTCACACTTTCATTCAGACCGAACACAGCAACTGCTGATTATACTGACTATTTGAATATGTTTAACTAGAGAGGCATTTGAAGTTTTTATATACCATTTTTAAAAAATAAAAGAATAAATAAATAAAAACAGTCCCCCCTCAGGAAACCTAAACTCAAGACTCAAATGCAGGCTGTGTTATTCCTAACGTCACAGTGACTTGTTTGTGTATAGCTTCCACCTCCGGGACCAGGGTCTAAATAAAGTCCAGAGAACGTTATTTTACCCCTTTTTAAAAAGTCCCTCGGGGGATGGTACAGGAGTGGGGCATTTCTGATGCTGCAAACCATTTTGTTTTTTGAGCCTACATGCATCATCATGGGGTTACGGAAGAAAGAGTAAATAGCTTTTTCAATAGGTCATTGGACTAATTGAAGAACCTTTTAGCTCCGTGTAAAGTTGTTCTTGGGACTAAAGGTTCCAGAAGTTATTACATGGAGCAGGCCTAAACCATAATACTTACAACATTATTTACAGAGACCCAACAGTTCCCACCATGAGCAATCACCTGGCGACAGTGGCAAAGAAAAAAAGTCCTTTTTAAGAGGCAGAAACCTGGAGCAGCTCTAGAGAAAGAGACATAAACAGAGAGCAGCAGCAATAACAACTGTAACAGTATCAACGGTTAATCTTTGCATTGGTTTTTACCTTCTTACCTCTTTACCCCCTGCTCTATGTAGATTTCTACTCTGCAGTGAGACAGAAGTGGGTGAACCAGGCGAACAAGCTCAGGAATGTCACCGTTCTGTCTGTCGGGGGTGGTTACCGTGACTACCAGGTCCGCTCCGGCCTGACGTCCCTACCTTGTCCTCCAGGAGACTCCAATAAGTTGTCACTGGTGGTAAGTATCATTTAATGAACTGGTTAAGTGGCACTTGACCCAGTCCAGCCCTCTTCCATGGCAGGACCTTTTCCAGGAACCCTGGAACGTTTTTAACCTCCATCCTGCTGCTGTAAAATGCCCTCCTATAAAAGATCCTGCTCCTGGGGTAGAATATAGTATTATATAGAGTGTATTTTGCCTTCATGGTGCTAAAAGTTCCTAAAGTATTGGGTGCTAAAGGGTTCTGCAGATTGTGTTTGATGCTGCACTGCTCTTTACATTTTTGTTTCAATGTCTTCTTGTTTTTGTCAAGGCTACTGCGGTTCCCAGGACATGGGTGTCCACCGACCATCTGTCCATCGTTTGGTAAAAACATGGCCTTATGCGTTGTTGAACTGCATTTATTCAGAACCGTATTTAAATATACGCAGATTATTAACGAGTGTTTGTGTTCCAGGTGCAAAGAGCTCGTTCTGGCTACTGTGAGGGCATTCTTCGACCTCATCAATCCTGAAACCAGACAGGTCAGAACAACAAACCACAGTTGTTTTTGAATTAATCTTTTCTGTGAAACATGCAGAAATATGGCGGGATGATGTCATAGAAAGATGTTATCGCCCCAGAGACTCGTGGGACTAGTTCATGAAATGATAAGCTTTCATTGCAAGCACGTGTCACCTGTTTCCAAGCTAACCAGTGTGTTCCTATTAGTTCACAGACAACCCAGAGAAGAAAATATCTGTACTAAACCATCACTTCATCAGACACCCTGTCAGGATGTTGGGAGACACTCAAGACACCTCCATCTCCATCTTAGGTAGGAGAGAAACACTTTATCATGCAGAGGCTGGAATAAACAGAGGAGATAGGCTTCATTAGTCTTCTCTTTAGAGCACCATCCTGTCCATGTACATTTAGACTGTCACTGAGCCATATGTTTACACTTGCTTCATATTATTTTGGAATTTTTATTCATTTAAGTCTTGAGTGATACTAATAAAGAATCACTGAATCAGTGTCTTGTTTTTCTTTTTGTTTTCCAGATTTTCCTGAAGCATGGAGTGAAGTTAACACACTGCGTCTGGTGTACAACACACCAAAGGTACCAGACTGTGTACTAATATAATAAACAAACTACTCATGTCCAGACTAGTTATTTGACCAATAATCTAAGAAAACAAAGCCCTGATACAGACAATGTTCCAGTTGCCTTCAGTGTTGCTCTCTGTCTACAGGAAGGACAGGTCAAATACTTCCAGTTCGCCCTGTCGAGTCGCAGGAAAGCTTACAGCCATTTCTACTGCCGGAGCAACAACCTGGTGAGTTTCCAGCACTGTGTTGTTGATGTTGTCATCCGTTGGGGATTTGAGATACAACCTGTTTCACTAGCCTGGGGTCAGACGTCTGAATCACCACCCACATCTTTGAATGAAATGGCAGCTCAGTCTTTGAGATTTACGTGCAAAAGCTGCCAGTTTATTAAAGCAAAAACACGAGTAATCTGTCCTCTTGTTAGTTCAAAAGAGAGCAGAAAAAAATTCAGATTTATTGTTGTTGTTCAACAGGAGATGACTAGCTGGGTGTACGGCTGCGTGCACAAGAACGGTTCTTCATGGTAAGAATATGATTATAACTCTTATACCTCCACCTCCTGCCAACTTCTATGTCTTTCTATTACTCTTCATTCATGCTCTTTGAACCTCCCAGTGTGCATGCAGTGGATCTCTCCATGGGAACTGAGCTTCTGCCACCATACAAGGTAATTATCCTCTTCTGAGAGGCCGTCCAGTCCAGTCTGAGCCGCTGCTGGTTGCTTATAACGGTCTGTTCTCCTCCTCAGGTCCTGATTCTGAGTCTCAGTGACTTGTCTTCAGTTACTCATGTGGTTGTTTCGGCCTCCAACCTCAACGGCAAACAGGTACCTGAAACAAAATGACAACCCACCTCTCTCTCTCTCTCTCTCTCTCTCTCTCTCTCTCTACTAACTTGCATGCTGATGTTATGCAGGTAATGTCTACTATTTACCATCTCACTTCACTATCAAAGTTAAGTGTGTTAGCGTCTCTTTTTAGCAAAGTACAGCTAAGGACGTCGAGCGCTGGGCGGTATGACCAACAATTGTGTCTGACTTGGCCTTTATATAGGTTTATAGTGACTTAATCTGCTGTCAGGAGTACAGAGAACATTTTAATGCCGTCCTGTGTGTGCAGAACCTAAACACCTTTTTAAGTCAAAACAGAACTTAAAAATAAAAGAATATGGAAAATATTTATATGTATAAAGTCTAAAATGTTCTATTGTAAGAAACAAATGTTACATCAGTTGATTCAGCTACCTGCAGGTAAGGATGTATATTTAGAAAATCATATCAAACAGGAAACTTAAACGGCTGCACCGCTTCAGAGAGAGTTGGAGAACCACTAAACTAGAAGAAAAGTAGTTAGGATACACTTTAGGATACTCTTTAAAAAGAGCTGCTTGTAGATTATAAAAGCCTGAGACAACCCAACAAAGAACAGCAACGACAAGGTTACCCTTGCTTTGAATTATCACTCATGTTAATTTATACAAATGACATTATAAAGTTTGTCTGGTCCACAGTTCACAGTGGAGTGTGAGTGGCAGAGACAAGAATCTCAGACTCTGTCTGTCCCGGTGCCGCATGTCCTGTCCTTAGGTGAGTTGTTTTACTGTTAATGCTGATTCTCTAAAACCTGGAGGAGGACTTTTCAGTAACTTTTGGTTTTCTAGGTTTGAGTGTCAGCGATGTTACGGTCAACTCCTCTGGACTTCTCCACACCATCAAGCTGCAGCACTTTCACCAGGTAGCTTTTATTACTTCATCAGGTTGCTTGTTAGACTCTCTGTTCCTGCTGTGTCACTAAAAATTTTAACACCTCTGTGTCTTTAGGTGTATCAGGCTTTCAGAATTAATGTTGCAAGCCAGTGTAAAGTACATAAAGGTAAGTTTGTCTTGTGATACACAGGCAAGCACATGTGCCTAGGTTAAATAATGTAGTAATGATCATTTTCTGTCTGTAGATAGACTTCCCAATGTGTACAGAATAAATGTGCCGTGGTTTCGAGAGGACTCTTTAACCACAGCCAGGTGAGTTGTGTCAGTGTCTGTCTCCGAGCTGTTTCTTTCTTTTTCTGTCAGATTTACATGTCATATTCACTGTTTGTGTCATGTGTCTGCCAGTGTGCCATCAGTCACTGAGATCTCAGGGATGCTCCACACAAGGCGTCCAGACAACACCTCAGGTGTCCTTCTTCAGCTCCACACTGCCCCCAACTGCCAATATAAGGTACTACTCCTCCTCTGTTGGAAAGAACTAGAGCCTTTGACTTCCTGTACATCCTGATGTTAATTCATCATTTTAATCATCAATACGGAGGTTAAATGTGTCAAGAAATAAATGATGTGTTCTGATTTCTTCTGATTTTTACCTCAGGTGTCAGTAAGGACTTCATTACCCAGGGTGCTGGGACAGGTACAACTTTATTGTCTTGTGTTTTTGGGCGAAATCCATTTTTAAAAGCTTGTAGTGACATCAGGAAAAAATATTAAGAATATTAAATGCCTTTTTCTTTTCTATTTGTTTTGTTTGAATGAAAACAGTCCTGAATATCTTCATACATGCATTGTATGCAGTGGCTCAAACAGGAGAAAGCCCTCAGGTCTGATCTGCTCTCTCTTACCTGACAGATACTGAGGTTCTGCGGTCCCATGGTTCCCGTGTACACAGCTGTAACCCTCCTCCTGGCCTGTGGGGGGCAGCTGTCCACCATCCTGAAGTCGGGGCGAGCTGCAGACATGAGCCAGGTGGTGGGCAAAGGCCTGCAGCCTCACAAAGTCAACCTTCCTGTTTATGTTCTGCACATCTTGCTTAGGTAGGCATCTGAACTCAAGGTCCACTTACTAGACTTTTTAGAGCTTTTAATTACATCTCACAGTCAGACCACCCACATGATTTATTTTCTTACTTATCCTCCTTTTCCTTCCTGCTGTCAGTTGTAGCTCGTTCCAAGAGGTCTGGTCCGTTCTCCGCCTCCCCCTTATGGATGCCCTCCCCTCATCCATGCCTGATTCGACATTTCGTGAGGGCGTGACACCAGTTGAAGAATGGCCCCTCCTCCTGTCCCCTCTGTTTTACATCTTCGGGGCAGCTGTTGCATACTGGGGCAGCACACTCCTCCGTCTCATTATGCGGCTGGTCTCGCTAATATTAGCTCCACTACACAGGTATGGCTGGACATTTAAACATCAGAGTATGTGATTTTAAACTGTGACTGAAAGGTCTTTAGACATTAGTCATTCAATATTACTTAACTGTAAGCCTCATTTAAATACCATTTTCTGACTGTTGTCTGTTTTGCACGCAGACCATCTGTCTCTAGAGACTGCGGCACCCTGCGACCGCGGACGCAGCTCCTCATTATTCTGTGTCTGACTGTTCTGGGCGGGACGTCCTGTGGGGCGCTGTCAATCTTCACCGCCTTCCTGCTCCACCTTTACAGAGTGAGTTCTGGGACATGTTAATACAAATGAAGCTGTTTCCAGTCATTTTACAGAGTAGCATTAATAGTTCAACCAGGTTAAATACTATATTGATCTGTTTATCCTCTTACATTACACATGTCTGTGTTTTTTGTTTGTTTTTTGCCATTTCATATTCAGGTACTGAGGCTACAGATGACAGAAAGATCTTTGAGTCACATGTTGAATCTGGTAAGATTTTTCGCCACCAGCATCAGATGGTTGGCTTGATGGTATTGTGGTTGAATGCAGAACCTTTTCCCGTATTACAATTAGATTCTTGTGAAATTCTACTAGTAATTAAAGTTTCCCATCATCTTTCCAGGCACCCCGGAAGCACAAAGAGGCTGAGAATGGCACAGCTGACCCCGAATCCTTCACCAAGTCTAAAGAATGTAATGGCGCCCCCTTGCTGTCTGAGTGTGCTCTGCAGGAGGTGAGGGATGACTTGCAGCTCCACCTCTGCCTATCGGCGCTCTTCACACTACCAGTGATGCTCATCGCACCCTCACTCATCCACTGGATCCGCAACCTGAGGTACAGCAATACAATGAGTGAGACCAAAGCCCCTGCATGGCTGTGTTTGTTAGAACGTATTCTAACTAGCTCCCCATATTTAAGAATGCTAATTAGTGCCATGTATCTGTGAAGAAAAGTGCTAATTGTTACATGTGTGAAAACAGAAAGGCAACTGTTTTACTTCATTAAGCAGTGACGGCATGACTTGGTAACGTCAGGAAATGTCTTTGTTTGAGCTACGTTGTGATCCTCTGCAGGTATTCCACCCAGTTGGATCCTGACCCCTGTTGGCCACACATTGTGCCTGTAATTATTGTGTACATGCTGCTCATCAACTGCAACACTTTAAAACTCAGCAACAGGTAAGAGCACGTCGCCACAAACGCACACGTTCTCCACCAGATGAATTATCCTGTCACAGTGGAGGCGAACTCCGCTTCAACCTTCTTCTTCTTCTTCTTCTTCATCTCTTTCAGTAAACTCCTGCCTCTGACATCCTTCCTCCCGCTCCCCTTGGCCGTCGCCATGGTGACCTTCTCTCCACTCCACCTCTACAGAGTCACCTACTTCCTGTTGGCGGCACTCATCCCCCTGGCCTCGTGTTGTCTGCTCTGACGGTATCTGTCTGGTTTCAGCCCACATCTCTACCATAACAAGCCTTTCTCTAAATTACAGCTTTACTCGCTGAAGCTGGTCGAGACCGATCGGTCCCGGGAAGACTTTCTCTCTCCAGCTGCCATGGAGCAGAGCCATAGACATACATAGCTTGGGGAACTGTCTGCTCAATGTTGGCGCCAAAAGCTCCACGGCAATTACACTATGCTTTAAAATGAGAGGATGTAATGGCCTTGGAACATTTGGTGCGAATATGGCTCCGAAGGATTGACCCCCGAAACCAAGTTTGCCTTACTCTGTATATCTATAGCTCTGCCTTCAAGGAGCAAGAACTCCACAACCAGTGAAGCTACTGATACTAGAGATTCACAACAGGGTGTTACTGTTAAAATGTGTTATTTTATGTTGTTGTTTCTAGTGTCGACAGTGGCATTGTTCACTGTGGTCACTACGCTGTAAACTCCTACACTGCCTACTGCTTAGCGATGACTTATACTACTGTGTGTTGTCTTTTACCTGTTAACTGTCAGCCACAAAACCAGTGGCAGCTTCATACATTCATTCCACAAGAAAAACACAAAGTAATCATGGTTACTTCCTCACTTTTTTTTGATACAGAACCGGTTCTAACCTGTCTCGCATTATTCAGAAGAAGAAGATTATGATGTGATCCATGTTCTTTAACATACAGTGATGTAGCCAAACAGTTTTACAGGTGTGGCCAGGTTGCGAGCAGTGTTCATGTTGGGGTAAATCTGTGTCTTGTTTAGTCTTCTTTCCTGCGTCAGCCGTGTGACAAACACTCTTGCATTCACCCACTTTGGCAAAAGTGACTGTTAAATGAGCAGCAGGCCGGGGGCTTACCCACAATAAGCGCCTAATAGTCGAGTGGCCAGAAGTGAAAGTTTTTAAATAATTTCCTACTTGAATTAAATGAGCCAAGAACTCGAAGAGAAAAGCAACAAGCAATTTCAGAATGGTACTTGTGTAAAAGCCTTGTGTCTCCACTTAAACTCATCGAAACTAGTCCAAGTTAGCGCTCCGTGTTTACCTTTTCTCACCATAAATTCAGGATGATGTGCATTTTCACAGCCCTGTTCCATCAGTACGATTACACGACTTTCTCTTTTTAACATAAATACTTTTCACACTCATCAGTTTTCCTTCTTTGTTGTTCTGTGTGAAACTACTGTCGGAGAAACTCAAAGCTTCCTGCACAGATGTTTCACATTAAAAGCCTTCCCAGTGTGTCCTTTTTTTCTAGAAAGCTATTAATGTGAAATACCAGTGCAGGAAGTGTTTAGTTTCACTGTCTGAAGCTTAACTTCTGCAAAGTAGAAGCAAATTTATTAGAGAATTAAAACTGTATTTCTGATTTAAACTTAGCAGTATATCTGGAACGTTTAGTCAATTCATGGATTATTTTATCGAAAGAAAACTAATTGCCAACTGTTTTGATAATCGATTAATCGTCATTTTTGACTGAAAAGTTGGTGTTTTGGACTGTTTGTTTGGCAAAAGAAGAAATTTTAATACCTCACTTTGGGAAATTTTGATCCTAATCCGAACATTTTTCACAATGTTTTTACATTTTGTAAACTAAAGGATTTATAGATTGATGGTGAAAATAATCAGCAGATTAACTGATGATGTGAATAATTATTAATTGAAGCCCTTATTATTACTGATGGATTTAATGCTGTTGAAATGCACATTATGCTGAACTTACCATGCGAGCACAGCGAACTGTCCCCTGTGGTGCTCTAGCTGTGTGGCGACGGTTCAGCAGCCACATTTTAAAAAAGCAGCGCTGTAAGAGGGTCCTTATGATCTGATCAAACCCTCCCAGCATCAGCAGCACTCCTGTAAATCTGTGATTTTCCCCGCCAGCTGTTGACTTGCCAAATAAAAAATGAGCAGCTTCTGAAGAGGGCCGAGCTCACGGAAACATTTTAAGCCACTGCTCATTCAGTCAACAGCCAGGAAAAAGTAGTGACCTTTCACACACCAACATGCAGCGGGCATCAGCTGCAGCTTTCTGCCTCTAATCTAATTATCTTTCTGATTTGGTGTGTCCTCACAGACACTCTGGAGTCTGGAGGTGTGAGAGTTTAATTAAGCTTCAGAGACTCTGTCAGTCTTCTGTCAGGGAGGTTTTTCTTTATGCTGCTTCGTGACTTAAAGGGTCTGTTAGCTGTTTGCAGTGTTCAGGTTTGATGGTTGGAAGATCTTTTGATTTATTATTATTTATAGGCCTTACGGTGTCTATTATTCCAGCATCATGAGCATACATGCGTACATTACATGTACATTTACCTTTGACTTTGTTGTTTTATTGTGTACAGCACTGAGTTACAGTGGATGTCATTAAGCTGATTAACAGAAAAAGACAATTTTATATCAAAGTAAAAACAAATATCTATAATTAATTCTAAATATAAAACTTAATATTTGCCTGACCTCCCATCAAGTCAAAATCAAATCAAATCAAAAAGTTGGATTTGTTTTTACATTAACGTGATCAGGGTTTTTTCTGTTGATCAGTATGATAAAATCTGAATGACCTCCACTGTGAATCAGTGTTTTAAATCAATGGCACATAAAAAAAAGTTGAAAGTGAGGCGAGTACATCACTGGCACCGCCGTAGTGTTTGATCCACTAACCTCGTTGTCAAAATCCCTCTCCAGTCTGTCTTAATGTGCCAGATTGGCAGCAACGCACGCATGTTGACTGGTTAAATACGATTACACCAAAAGTTAATGAGGTGGTTGTGAGATAAATATGCTAAACAGGCAAATTAGCACCTGGGGATTGGACAAATCATAAATATTCATTTATTTTTTTTATGTTATGGAGACAGTCAGAAGCTAAAGCTACAGACGAAGCCAGTCTCGTAGGTTCATGAGGACTAAAATCACTTGTGGTCGCTGGTATTTGGATTCAGAAGTTGTATCAAAACGTTCTTGGTGAAGCTTCGGGCTATCAAAGTTTATTAAAAAGCAAATTATTTACTTCTTCTAAGCCACGCATTTGTGTTCAGTGGAGGATTATGGGACGTCTGTGCAGCTGATGCATACAGTATGATTGGACATTCAAACAACAACTTCAAGCTCTTAGCAGGAAACGTATAATCCCTATATTGTAACTTTCTTTGTGCTGCTGCAGTATCGAGTTAACAAGAGAATCATCTTGTATTTAATGCTTTCTGTTTGTTAGAGCACAGTTAGTTACCCTAGCGGCAGATGTACAGGGGAAAGGAGCCCACCACCTTTTTGTCTTACTTTGTTTTGTTTTGATTTTAAATGCTTTTTTTTACGTCCTTTTACAAACTAAAACTCTTGTGACCATTTGAATGTTTTTTTTCTCTTAATATGAAAGAACACTTGGATCTCTTGTGGTTCCAGTTTTTAACCTTTTTTAGGAGCAATTTAAGAGACCAAGCTGGAGTTCTGTGTTTTTCTTACTGTCAACGAAAGCCAACAATGTGTTATTTCGTCTCGCTACTTTCTGACTTCCCGACCCCGCCGGTGGCACTCGGACACATTAGTTCCTGCTGAAGATGTACATCTTTAGAAACTGCTCGCAAATATTTGGTCCAGTAATTTCCTTAAACAGCTGGAAGCTGGAGTTTTTTAACAAATGTAACTCAAACAGGAAGAAATAGAGCTTTAGCTGGGGACTAATTTCATGTGGATTAATACACATTTTGGTGCTCTAGTGAGTATTTAGAGTAGCAACAGTGTGTCTCATTGATGTGTTTTTAGTAGTTTCTGCACACCGATGGGCGTGTTTCCATCAACCTATCAACAGTTTGAAGTACTTTATTAGAAAAGTTTGATAGAAATGACACACACACACACACACACACACACACACACACACACACACACACACACACACACACACACACACACACACACACTATACTTGTTTTTGGTCTGTTGACAGAAAGAGAAATATAGAACATGTACAGACTTTATCCTTTTAATGACATATGTTATAAGAAGAGGATGTAATATTTGATATGATGAAGGTTTTAGATGTAAATGGAAGGAACCAGATGGTCATTATGATTGTTGTGATGGAAACCGTTTGCTGTGTGGTGGTGTGTTTGAGCGTGCGGTGTTTGAGCGTGCGGTGTTGTTACGCCATGTGGGCCTAACATTTTGTTACTTTTTGACTTCAGTTTTTGTTGCCAATGACTTTTTCTTTAAGCTGTTTTTGTGTGTGTTTTAAAATTGTGTCTTGATGCTTTATCTTCCGTCCTCCTGCTGTTGCTCACACCCCCTCATGTCAGTGAAAGCAGCTGCTGTGCCTTTCTGAGCAGTTCATCTGTTTCCTAGCAGTTTAAAACCATTCAGTCCTCAGCAGCAGTGTCTTGACAAAAGGCCTACAGTGAATGTAAGTGTACGTCACTGGTTCCGTGTGACTGCGTTTACTCACTAAAATATTCCTTCAACACGGTAGTTTGACTTTAGATTCGAGTGACTTTATAATAACTAGAAACTAAAGATCATTAGGGACCAATCACTCTCGCCCCTCCAAAGCAAGCATACAATCATACGCCGACATACTCGACGAAGACGCCGCTGTTGTTCCCAATGTGAATGTACCTGCACTGAATGTCTCTGTGTGTTTGACTTTATACAGTCAGTGGTGGTGTAAGTGATCAGCTTTTCCGTGCACTTGTCTGTCTGGTGCCGTTTTTAGCGCTTTGAGATGCACGTCGTCTGCCTCGTCGTGAATTGGTGGCATACACTTCTTTGTGGAACACATTAGGAGGAGGTGAGAAGTTTTTCTATAAATATAAATGTGATTTATATCGGTGTTCACTGTGATTATGTCGTAGTTCCAGATTAACACGTGAGGGTTTTCTTTCCAAACTGGGAAATCCACACTTTAGTGGGGGTTGAAATGATGTTTTGGACCATTTAAAATGAGGTTTCATATGATGTTTTGTGTGTTTTGTCTAGAATTGAATAACTCCCATTGTGCATCTTAAATACTGCCATTTTAAAAACCGGTGAAACAGACTGTGGTCCTGTTGCTCTCTTGTGGTGCAGCGGTGAAAAATGTCTCCATCTATCATCTACAGTATTCATTTATCTTATATTTGGCCACATAGGAGCTTTACAAGTGAATATTCCTCCACTTTAACACTCTCTATATTAAAATGTGTGAAAAGATTTAGTTGAACAAAGGTGAATAATGTGAGGAAATCGACTAACTCGTAACTGAATAGCACCGTTATTAAGAAGAGCGGCCACTGAATCTAATTTCAGTCTACTTAAACTGACAGCTAAGTGATATATTTCAGCACCCTACAATTTCAGAAGCAAAAGGTTTTAGACTATCTGTGATCGGTCTGCCGCGGCGGCTTCGCTTTGTGTCGAACCCGACTTGGACAGTGAAGTGTTAAGTGACAGCTTTGCAGCATCCTGAATGTCATCGAGGGGATTCTCTTACAGTCGCTGATACCTCAGAGCTGGGATCTTGTTATTCAATCATCATGTCAGTAAAATGGACATTCACTCACACAAAAACACACAGAAACATCCAACCAGTCAGCGGTCGGTGTAGTGGTGGCTCTTTATTTATGCCCCCAGATGTTTTTTAGGAAGGATAAACACAGTGAGTTATAAGCCACTGATAAATAACACTACTCTTGCATGTTTAGCTCACCCTGAAATGGCCCAGTAGTGTTTGCACATTATCAGTTAACTTCTGCTGCTTGACTTCAGGGAGAAATGATCACTATGAAATTAACATTAGCCACAGAATAGGTGCAGATTTTGCAATAAGTACTGGCCCACAGACTACAGGGTGAGACAGCTATTCAACAATTCTGCATTTTGAGTCAAGTATTTATTTTTCCTTACTATATCCACTCATGTAAATCAAACTGTCTCCACCATCAAACATTCAACACACTGCTGAATGCATCAGAGGGGATTTAGAAGCGGGTATACCTGCGTACGCCCTGCACTACACCACTGCTACCAATAAATAAACCCACAATTCATCACAAAGAGATTTATTTTATCAGCTTACTTATCTTGTGTGCCGATCTGTGTAACAATCAAATCAAAGCACACTAAGAAAACTCAGTCGTCCACTCCACTCGCTCCGATTGATCACTGCAAACGTGGCGAACACTGTGCAGCTGCCAGAAACCTTCAGCAGCCGTGAAAACAAAGAACGGGCTCTTAGTTCAACCTACTGAAAAAGAATTCAGTCAAACCAAATCACAGTTGCAATGTTTTGTGCAGCGTGATGAGCTTCTGCTCCTTATTTAGGAAGTTTGTTCCAGGTTAGATGTTTCTTGCATTGAGGTAAATTGTAGTACAATACCACAGTTTGACACATCCTTCGCAGAAATGACTCATTATGACAACCGACTTAAACCTCTATGAAACTATAAAATTCAGTACTGAAGCTGTTGTTCATCGTTATCACAACCTGAGCGTCACTAATGTCTCACATTTGTTTTCATTTCCTTCCCAAATAATGAAAAAGGTTAATAAAGAATGATCTTTTTCCAGTGTGTATCTGGCAATATGGAAGTAAAACTCATTAAATGTTAAAACTGTCTATAAGTGCTTTAAAGTCTGGTAACCTTTTTATCAGTTTCTTTTATTCTGCTTCTGCCTAGAGTGACTTTAAAACCTGTAACCTCCTGCTAGCTGGTCCTTGTTGTGCAGAACTAGTTAGTCCTCTGACCTTTGCTAAGATACTGTACCGGAAAGAAAGGAAGAAAATAATACCTTGTCTGAGGCATACTTTCCTTTTTATTTATATTTTCTGGTGAGGCTCTAGTGTGGATGAGTATTTTCTCCTCAGGTTTAAGTGTTATTGTGTCAAAATGGATTGCTTTGATGTTTTTATATTTCTCACATTTTTATCTGATGTCATTGTAAATGGGCAAAATGTGCAATTTTTGGCACCATTGTTGTTGCAATAAAACCAAGAAAAATAACCGTGGTTGTTGTTGTTTTATTATTGTTATTATTGACATGTTGTGAGTGTGAAATTCATGTTTTGAAGGCGGGGCCCCCACACAGATGTTTTTACTTATTCTGGCTCATTAGACCTTTGCTCAGGTCAAAGGTTGGTCATGATAAAGGTGGAAGTTGTCCCGCCCTCTCAGGAGCGTGAGGGAGGTGTCAATCAATCACTGTACACAGTCCAGAGAAAATGTCTGATTAGTAAGGATACACGATATCTATCGGGGGCCTATAAATTATCTGTCGAGCTGGTGGGGGTTTGAGCACAAGTACTTCAGTTCCAGATGGATTAAACTTATTTCACCTCATCAGTCCAGTTGCTGAATCTTCACTCATATTAGATGTAAATGGCCTAATTTAAAAGTTTGTTCCAACTTCTGCGAGGAAATGGCTCAACTGCACTGCCGGTGTAATGGTTTAAAGAGTGACCGTGTTAACTGGTGACTTTTGGCCAAATGAGTCTCTGGTTACTCACAGTGAGGGCCAACACAAACTGAGCTCTTGAATTAAATATTCAATATTCGTCTGGAGGAATTTGACCTTTTATATACTTTTTTTTTTTCAGTTTGTTTCCCACATTGTAAGAACATTACGAGATAACGTATGTAAATGTTTAGCGTAGATATTAAACACATGAGCATGTATTTAAAATGTATTAAAGCCTCTTGAAGGCTGCATGTACTGTTCGTGTTTTCAACATTTGCCGTTACTACAAGCAACCGTTCTGCCTAAAGCCACCAGTCATAAACTTCATATAATGTAAATATACTTATTATATTTCTTACTGGGTTATTGACTCCTGATAGAAAATACTATATTTCCTCCCAGCAGCAGGGAGTGATAATACCTGTATGAGGGGCCTGAGGAGGGAGGACTGAGGGTGCTGTAGTTTGACCCTTTTGCTGATAAATTATTGGTCAATTATAATTTATTTTAAACTTTAATGCAAAACATTTGATACACTTTAATTATTAATTAGGCACAATAACCCAAGGGTGTTTACCACAGCTGTTTTAGTGCTTTACCGTTAATTTTGTCCTCCTTTAATAACATAAAGATGGACTACAGAACAGCCCAATGCTTTGTATCGTGTCGAGAACAGATTTGTTTAAGCTGCTTTATTGAATGAACATCCAGAAAGCTTGTGAAGTCTTTTAAACAAGTATGAATTTATTCAGGCACAATCACCAAAAAACAGTCTGTTTTGGGTGTATGAATTATTTATGAAGTAATTGTTGTTATTTCATTATGGCTCTCAGGATGCATTAAGTACTAGCACTGCATCAGATGATTTAAAATGATTGCTTTTATATCGCTGTAATATAAAAACATTCTATGTAGCTGCTTCCAGGACAGCAGCTCAAGATAACTGCACTGTCCTCTGAGAGAGCTAAAAGTGACCAGTTACTGGTGAAACTGGAACATTTAGTAGGCTATGGGAGCCCGCCTGTTTTTCCAGGCTTCCCACTCTGCTTAAGAAATCATTTTCCAGGACATTTTCCAGGACATTTTCCACTTTCATAGCACGCTTGGCTGTTCTCACCTCAGCTGATTTTTCCGCTTTCCGAATAGACCTTTTTCACAGCAGCCATTTTGACATCTGGCATATCAATGATACTAATAAAGGCTCTGTTCCATTTAGTGCAGCAGAGCCTCTCCAGTGAGCCAACATCCCCTAGAAACAACATACCCTACTGTTTCATGTCAAAACGGCTGCTGTGAAAAAGGTCTACTGACTGCAGCTTTTCCTCTGATGTGACATTAATTTGGCCACAGCACAGGATAACGTACAATTAAAAGTTTCCAGGACAACACAGGTTATCTCCAGGTCATTTTAAACAATTTCCAGGTGTTTCCATGACTGGAAAACTAGTCCCTAAGTTTCCAGGTTTTCCAGGATGTGTGGGATCCCAAACAAAGGAATGACATCATTGTTGTTATTTTGTTTGGCTGTCCCCTCAGAGGTCACTAGAGGCCAGTTTAGATAGATTGTGACTAGATGACTATTAACCTCATAGGATTTAAACTATATTGAGATTAGATAACATCATTGTAGCTACAGACCCTCCACACTGCATCAGCTACACTGTCAAGCAGCACTTCATGCTGTTTATAATCACCATTTGTAGATGGATGTCCTCTCGCTGCACCTCTGCTGAGCGGCCACCAGGGGGCAGCGTTTCCCTGCCGACCCCGGCCTGTCAGCAGTGTGTCAGCCCGGCTGGATGAATGGATCTGTACACTTTCCTCATGTTCGCTTTAATGTGCTTATGCAGAATCAGATGCGCCGCTTCACTGTGGTGGGAAATGCTGAATGGGATTCCCCGGAGTCTAAATATGGAGCAACTGGCACAAGACTGAAAGGCCATAACTGAAAACTACTCTCGTCAATGTGTCTGCAGGTAAATATCAGTCACATGTTACCTGAGGGGGGAAATGTATCCGGATCATTGTGAGTAAAAGCAATAACACAACCTAAAGACACTGTAAATATCACATTCATATGTATATGAGGCTGTATTATTGGGTTATTATAATTGATGTATCAATGCATTAGAAATATTTGAATGTTGTAGTTCAGTTGTTCCCAACCTGGGGGTCGGGACCCCCACCAGGGGATGCCAAAGCTTTATGGGGGGGTTGCGAGACCTTCTTGATTTTAAGGTTTAAAAATATACACAGTAGGCCTGTAGCTCAGCAGCTGGTTCACATCTGGGAGGAAAAGTGAATGTTAAATAAAGTAAATTATCTAATAGAACAATGGTCAAGCGGCCCTTTAAGTGTTTATGAGTGTTAAAAATAAGTAAAATGCATAATACAGACAGAGAATTGTATAGAAAAGTTCCCTAAATAGGAAATAATCTGCTCAAAATTCATCCATATCACTCGTTTTACACAAACTTCACTGTTTGGGTTCATTGTACAGTTTTGAATATAAAATGAAATATCCATAAAATATGTAACATAGGTCGTCAGCTTAATAAATGATAGCCCCTCTTCTATTATTTATCCCTTTTTGATTTGGAAATGGAGCTATTTTTAACTTTATGATCTTCCAGCTGTTAAATCTCTAACAGTGAAACATACTGAACCAATGTTAAAGTATAAAGCTGCACAGGGCTTCTACAGGTTGACTCTCTCTCTCTCTCTCTCTCTCTCTCTCTCTCTCTCTCTCTCTCTCTAGTCACCGCCCACTCTGATTTCCCACATTAATATGCAGTGTGTGTGTGTGTGTGTGTGTGTGTGTGTGTGTGTGTGTGTGTGTGTGTGTGTGTGTGTTATCAACAGCAAAAAACTACATCTCAGCCACTACACTCCTCCGAATAAATCCCTCCGCGCCCCCCCCCAGCAAGGAGACTCTCTCCACTGCAAATAAGCAAACATTACGCCATCCTCGGGTAGTCTAAGTCTCTTCTTCCCTTCTCTCCCCCCGGACTGACAGCGGTTGCATGCTCTGCCCAGTCACACTGTGTGCATCTGCCGGGACTGGTGGGAGGACGTCGGCACTGACTGCAGCGCATTGCGATGCAGAGAGGGAGAAGGATGCGATGTCTGTGTGAGCTGCACGCCTGAAGCCCGCAGCAGCAGCAGGAGCAGCCTCCTGTGCGGGCACAGTGCGGGGGACAGTGCGGGGGACAGTGCGGGGAGGTGCTGCTGGAGTTTCTGCGCACACTTCTGGCGGCTGCTACCGAAGAGGGCCGAGGTGTCTCTGCAGCGCCGCAGCTTTACAGAGGGATACCGTCTTGATACGTGACTCCGAGCCCAAATATGCCCTGGCTCGGGATCTGAGAGGGAGGGGGTGGCAGGGGTGGGGGGTTGGGGGAGGGGGGGCCCTAGCGCGGCACCCCGCCCGTCTCTCCTCATTTGGACTGCAGGGATAACGACCTGAACCGTGATATCCCCGCGCAGAGAGCTCCGAGCAGGTGTTGGTGGCAGCGCTGTCCCAAAAAACCCCCCGCACCTCTGCGCCAAAGGTAAGCTGAGCGCGCCGCCGGGGAGCGGAGGGACCGTGTAGGTGTTCATGGCTTCCAGCAGTGATGCTGTTAATGATGATGATGATGATGATGCTGAAAGCAGCTGAATGTGTCATTAAACAACCGCAGCGTCGCCGTTTGCGTATCGGGTTCTGCGCTGTGTTGTGGTGTGTGTTTTTTGCACTGAAAGGGGGGGTTGGGGTTGGGAGGGGGGGTAACTGATCGATTCTGCGCTCATGCATGCGTCTTGTGAAAGAGATGCATAAAAATAAAATGACGTAGGGAATTCCCACAGTAATCCAATAGCGAGCTGTGACACCTGCACATTCCGCCAGTGCGGTCCTATATATGGCCTGTGCTCGGTCATGTGCGCAGAGCGGCCGTGCGCGGCCTCGGCTGCGCGCAGATTGACTTAAAATGATTAAAGTTGGAGACAAACTGTTATGTAACGGGATTTTTGCTGACGTGATTGTGCCGTGGGGGGGGGTTACCTTCACGTCTCTTCTGCTGGGAGATGTTGAGATTGCCCCGTAAGTGCAGAACGGGAGCTGTGTTTACGTTCATATTAATCTATAATAACATAATGCTGTGGTCAGAATCGTGCCCTAAAGCAATCATACGGTGGCCCTGCAGTGTCTGTGCTAAATACCCCTCTGAGATCTTCTCTACTTTTTGCCTCTCTTGCAAAAGTGCAAACATGCACAGCTTTCTCAAAAATGTGATACATTAAGCAAATTCTGTTATCTGAGACGAAGTGGAACAAGCAGAAATACAGTTTTGTTGGATTTTTTTGTCCCTGCGGATCATCACAAAACAACAGATTTCCTCACTTGACAGAATTTGACAAGGGGTGGGGGGGGCAACCTGTGACGGTCTGGTTCGGACAGCTGCCCAGACTGTGCACAGAACCGATAATGTTAAGCGTGTCTGATAACTGAAGAAGAGAAGTTTGTGAAGAAATAGAGGCCGAAAGTCCCAAACACCCTCCCGTACACAGG